TAAAATAGCTCCTTCTTGCTAAGAAAGAAGCAACTTACCGCTAGCACCTTTTTCTTTTAACCTTACCACTATTAATTATAAAACCTTATACTTTTTAAACTTAAAACCTTTAATATAAACTTTAATCTTTTATACTTTAATTAATATCTTTTTAATACCTTATTATATATAAGGATAACCTTATAATTATTAATATTATTAATAATTATTATTTTAAAGTTAACTTTATTATTATTATTACCTTTTACTATTATTTATTAATGATAATATTAAAACTAACCTTTATTAAATTTATTTATAACTTATTAACTTTTCTTATAACTAAAGAATAAATTAATAATTATTATATAATAATTGCAGAGTTTTATATTATAAATATTTATTTTAATTGCTAAATTCCTATAAAATCTTTTCCTTCTTATTATAATGGAAAATATTAATGATAACTTATAAAAGTTGTTTAATACTTTTATTAATATACCTTATAAAAATAATAATAGCAAGCAGAATTATTTAATGAATATTGTATTTACTACCTACGTTAAAGATATAATTAGTATAATTATTATTATAATTGCTATTAATATAATTAACATTAAAGGTAGCCTTGCTGCAACCCTTAACTAAAATTAGGATTCCCTTGTAAATATTGCAATTATAACCTTAATTAATAAAATAAATATTATAATTGCATTCCTATTAAGCAATAAAATAAAGATTGGAATTATTATTAAGGCTATAAAAAGGGCTAGAATTACCTTAATTAATAAGGATAAAGATAAGCTTATTAGTCTTACTAGCTTTTATAGCAAGGTTGTTGCTAATAACGCTTATTTAATGAATGTTAATAAGGATGTTAATAATAACGACTTTTGTTTAGTTGCTTATTTAATGAATGTTAATGAAGATATTAATAATAATAACTCTTATTTGCTTAATATTAATAGCAATTTAATTATTATTAATGATAAAAACAATTAAAACTAGGCTAATAAAACCTTAATAAAGATTATAAAGATTGCCTTTAAATTTACTTTTATGCTAGGCATTAGAAAAAGTAAGTTGCTTATTAAGATAAACTCCTAAGGAATTATTAAAATTAATAAGTTAAAGGTTATAACTATAGCTTAAGCTAAAATACTTTTTTTAAATAATGCTATTATAATAGCTATTATTTAAATTATTAATAACTTTTAATATTAAAATAAGTAAATATCTTTTAATAATATAATTAAAAAGCTATATATTTATATTAAAAGCATTAAAACTCTTAATATAAGATTATGTAATATTTTTAATAATAAGAACTATTAAGGTAATTATTATTTTAAATGCTAAATTATTATAATTTTCATAATAAATAACTTAATAAAAGTTTTAATTTTAAGTGTTTTTTATATATATTAAATTAGAAAGATTTAGCTATTAAAGGATTGAATTGCTATGTTAACTTAGCTTTAAAACTTTTTGCATTGAATTATTAATAAGTATATGCAAGGCCTATATATAAAGGGACTTATTAAGAAATATATATTACTGCTTAAGTAATTTAAATAAAAGATAATTATTAAGGAAATTAAAAAGAATAATAAAAAGCAAAAAAAGGAGATAATAAATAAATAGGCTGCTTATAATGCTTAGTTTTAAGAAAATAAAAAGTAGCTAAAGGAAATTAATTTAAAGCAATATTAAGTATATTTTAATAATGAAAGTAAAGATAAAGATAATGATATTTATATTATAAAAGTGCGTGATAAAAATGGATGTAAGCTAAAGGATTTAGTATTAGCTTTATAGGTATTAACTTCCTTTGCAAAGAAGAAATTTAGGATTAAGGTCCTTGCGTAAAAGTTAATAATCTCTATAAAGAAGCGACCCTAAAAGCTAAGTATTAAGGATGATAGGTATGATGTTTAAGGAATGGTATAATAATAATGGTTGTAAGTTTAAAGGGTGATGTAATGGCAAAGGTTATAAGTTTAAGGAATGATATAATAATAAGGGTTGCTAAGACTTGCTTTAAAACTTATAAGTTATAATTTTAAGCCTTTTTAGCAATGCTTTCTTATGATAAAGGTTATATATATATAATATATAATGAATTATGATTTTAGGCTAATTATAATAAGGATTGTATACATTTATTAAAAGAAGAGAAAACTTTAAGTATTAATAAGTATAACCCTTGCTATTAGGAGGCTACTTTAGTTATCCCTTACGGAGCACGTAGCCTCTCAGAACTTAGACAGAACAACACCAATATACGATTGCTTCCCATACGATTATCATACGTACGAGAGACCTACCAACACTCTCGCCCCAGTTCCCGTCATTGACCTGCCCTACCGATGGGAGAGTGGGCAACTGGTTCCAGGAACCTCGCCCATCGAATGTCCTCGCTGCAAGTGGAACGGTGACCCCCAGAAGTTGTTTCATGGTAGATACTCTCTGCTCACTGGCAAAGATTGCACGCTGGGGCCCTTCGAGTGCGCAAGATGAGAGTTTCTCCGGTGCATACTTTTCAAAAGAGCTGAAATAGAGGGCAGAACAGTCACAGACACAAGTCAAATCTGTGATTCAGACCTGAATGCGCCGGTTGAGTTTGACGGACTGGATGCTATCTGGCAGTCTATCTTCATTTCTTCTGATATTCCAAAATCAGATATTGACCGCTACGGCATGATCAGGCGGTTTAAGTCGAGCAATGAAAAGCTATGTGGTACATCATTGCAGTGGGCACAGAGGCGTATTGCAGAATGTGCGAGGTCACACGAGCTCTGCCAGTCACAGAGCGACGACTGTTTCCTGCCCACTAGGCTGATCAACCTTCAGCCTGGCTGGGAAGGTTTGGACGTACGACTTGATGACATCCATTCTGTGCGGTTGGGGTCATTATACACCACTCTGAGCTATAGCTGGGGTGATTACAGACCTGCCTGCATCACAACTGGCGAAACTCTTGCCCAGAACAAAGAGAGAATACCGTGGGACAAAATGCCACTCACGTTCCAGGATGCAGCGGCTTTCACTCTGAGTCTCGGCATACAGTATCTTTGGATTGATAGCATCTGCATCATTCAAGGAGGCGAAGAAGACTGGCAACGCGAAGCGGGAAGAATGTACGCTGTTTACAAGAACTCGTACCTGACATTAGCGGCTCTTTCTGGGCACGACAGCATCTATGGACTCCGCAACATGTCCGTAGAGAAAGACTCGGTACTTTTCGCTGAGTTACGCATCGATCAGACCAATTACCCCCTATACTAGTACGTGCGACGGAATCATTATCTCGATAAAGTGGCTCAAGACAAAATCAGAGGGGGTCTCACTTTCGACGAAATACGTCACCGTTATCCACTGCTCAGCCGGGCCTGGGCTTATCAAGAACGCACCGTATCGCCCCGCGTAATGTTCTTCACCGAGAGCGAGATGATCTTCCAATGCCTGGGCAGAGCTGAGTGCAAGTGTGGCGCCACCCTAGAGTATTCCCAAGGGACCGCCGACAAACTTAGCAAGACAGACATTTTCCTGAAAACCAGAATCCACTCTCCAACGAAAAGCTCTTCTTAAGAGGACGGATCTTAGAGAGCCATGAGCGGACCAATGAGAGCCCTGTCTGGACTCAAATCAAAAATGGAGCATCTCTTGTCTGCTTATTCTGGAGATGACACCCAGGCTGAGATTACCGGCAGAGCCCGCCAGGCCGCAAGGACTTGGAGGGAGGAAGTTGTCTGTGAGTACACGCTTCTGGCGATTTCGATGCCACGAGACAGATTGCCAGCTATTGGGGCTATTGCAGAGCAATTCCAGCGCGTCCGCGTGGGAGAGACCTAGTATCTCGCCGGCCTCTGGTCGGGGTCCCTCCTCGAGGATCTACTCTGGATATCCGCCCCGGAACTCGAGTCTCCGAAAAGCAAGGAGAGGCTGGAAAGACCGTTCTCTCTGCCTACATGGTCATGGGCATCCCTGAATAGCAGTATAAATTACCTCTTGGAAGGGTGGGTCACTGTTCCTAAGGCAGAGGTCCTCGAGGCAAGATGCAGCTACGTGGGGGACAGGGCGTTTGGTGTTCTTCAGAGCAGCAAATTGATCTTGCGTGGCAGGATCCTACATTCTCTGCTTAAGTGGGATGATGTTGATGTCTCTCTCTGCTCCCACAATGGGGATTCATGGACAGGATTCAGCGACTCGGTAAAGGGAGTGATGCGCACCATGTGGATAAATATGGATCAGGACCGGGATGGGGTTCAGAACATTCCTTCACACCAAGAGGTTGATATTCTGGAAATATCGAGATCCAACGATGACTTCTCTTCAATGTCTGAGTGGAACTTTCTTCTCTTACGCCGTGAAGACCCGGATACCTTTGTATATACGCGAGCCGGAAAGGTGACTTTTGTTCTCAATCCAAAGCGGGATGACGGTCAGGTTGAGGATGAGTTGCCTCAAGACGGGTTTGAAAGCATATTTGAAGGTCGGAGTGTATTGACTACTTGTGAAATACGATAGAATGAAAAGAGTGAACCGCCAATCCAGAAGATGGCTTTTAGATATGTAACTTGACCGCTGTATTTGGACCCTCGAGCCAAATCTTCCAGTAGAAATACTGAGAAACTCACTACATGAAACGCCCGTCTCGCGCAGCTATCCGCCTATGAGGAATTCACGAGCACGCTCTTATTTCTTCTGTGTTCTGACAAATCAACCAGACATTTTACACGCTGGACGAGATGCCACAATTTCAGTAGAACCGCGAGGAACTACTTTGGATTCTCGGCAATACCCAATGCGCGAACAATTCTACTGCTATAAATTCCCCGCATCAGAGCTTAACGCACTGCAACGATGCTTCCCTCGCATGAGAGGCACACAATCGAGGAGCGGCCAGGGCAAACCATGGGTTATATGCATGCGCATGTGGTGCCGCACAACCGTGTTTATGAAGTTTGAATTATATAAAATACGCGGTTGATATTATAGTCCGTGCTACAAGGGGGCTATTAATCCTCTAGTCGTACAGTATAAGTAGATCGGGACGGCTCATCATCGTAGTCAAACGCCGGGGTCTTATTCCGCCGTGGAGTGCCCGGTTCGCGGCTTAAAAGACTGGAATGACGACTCGCGCGACTCCCAGGGCGGACGATTGATATATCGAATTCGTCATGGCCACCAACCTCGTCGTCGCGGCTCTTGGTCGTCGTAGCGATGTAGCCGGCTAGGCTCAGATTGTCGTCCTTGTCCACGTAATTGCGTTCGCGCTGCAGGGCGGCAGGGGATTTACGCAGCCGTCCGTCGACCGGGGGCGCGTCTTTCCCCTTTTTTGCAGTGCCGTCAGACTCTTCGTCGATTAGGACAACCATCCAGACGCCGACGGCGCCATTGCTGCCGAGCAAAGGGGTGCAGTGTATCCATCGCACCCGGCCCTCGCTGTGAGGCGTGCTCATCCATCGGACCTTGGCGGTGACCCCGTGGCCGCCCTCGAAGGCCTGGTGAAGCCCGTCGCGGACTCGGTTAGACCCGCCGATTTTGTCCATGAAGTTGGACTGGAGAATGCCGGGCATCCTTAGAGACGGAGAGGCGAAAAGGACGCGCAGACTGGGGTACGGGCGGACAAGCAGGTAGTATTCGTAAATCCCGGGGAGCTTTCCGCTGTCTGTCACCGAGGAGGCGATCGACACGCCGCGTTTCTGGATGGACGATGTCTCGTCCTGCAGCAGGATGCGGGGCTTGTGCCAGTTGGTTGCCGATGCGTCTTGATGCTCATCCTGTGGCACGCGATGCATATTACCACCGCGCCGCCGTACCGTCTCCAGCTCCGTCATGTTGAACATGTCGCAGAGGTTCTGAAACTCGTCCTTGTCATCTGGGTCTTCGTCTTCGTTCGTATCGCCGGCAGCCGCAGCGGACTCTCTCGCGGCGACCAGGTTCTGGAGGGCATCCAGACCCGAGATCTGCTTGGCAAGACCCGACACGTCGACCTGAGCGCCGATGAAGTAACGAACAGCGCCACGGCTGTCATACAGGGGAGCAACCATAAGGAGGTTCATGAAAGGCGAACCATCTCGGCGATAGTTGAGAAATGTCTCAAAGTGCTCTTTGCCGGCTGAGAGCTTATCGCGGATCCGCTTCACGCTGAAGGGATTTGTCCTTGGGGCCCTGGAGGAAGCGACAATTACGCCCAATGACATGTTTCATGCCGTATTGCGTCGTTCTGTGGAACTCTGCCGGCACTGTTAGCTGATATTACTGTGGTCGGTGCTTACAGCCAACGAAGAGAACCATACCTTCAGATGCAAAGATGATCGGGTTGTCGTGCCTTGACGGGTCTGTCAAACAAAAGACTTCCGCAAGGCCCTCGGACATCTCCTTCAGCTGCACGGGAAGAGTACCTGTGATCCGTTTCGTGATTGACACGGTGACAGTCTGAATCCAGAGATGTGTGACGTATGCAGGCAGATCTTGTTGAACCAGAACGTCAAAGGCAGCCTCAGCCTTCTTCTCGAGCGAGGTGTTGACCGTCTTGTAGGAATTATCATTAGAGAACTCGTGCTCAGGAAGGGTGTCCAGGCCATCAGTGATGGCGTTTGCGTATGAAATGGCCCGCAGCGCCTTGAGGCAGTCCAGGTAGTACGACAAAAGAGGTAGTGATTCAGGGCGAACCGAGTGCAGAAAGTCTGTGAACCGCTGCAGCAGAACGTGATCCCGAAAGATGGCCTGGAGATGGTCTTTGGAGAAGATCAGCTCAGATCTGTCCTCCAGATCGTAGTACTGCCCGCTGTCTCCGTGTGATGGCACTACGAGGTCAAAGGAGCCCGGTTCGACCTCCTCCTCGGCCAGGGGCTCAAGGATCTCCTCGTCCCCGGCACCTTTGGTCTGCAAAGCAGGCAGCATGGAAGTGGCGTTGGTGCGATATGATGATGCCGCTGAATTTGCCCTGGACCGCGACGAATGCGTATATGTATTTGGGCTCATGGGCGGGCTAAGGGAAGACGGCCTGCTTTGGACAGGCAATGGGGACCCGGGATGCTTGACCCTTCCCCTTCCCCTCGAAAAGCCCTCTGGAGACTGCATAGTACTAGCAACGCCATTAGCTCGATACACTGGGGAATGCTGTAGACTGCAAGACTCATGAAACGCACAGTCTGTCCTTTGGAGGGGTGATGTTGTTGGGGTTGATCGGCCCGTGGGGTCTCCAGTCATTGTCGTCCTCCTCAGCCCATGCCTCCTCAATGCGGGAGGGCTTGGGGGCCTTCTGCTCTGAAGCGACACGACGCGAGGGTCGACTAAGAGGGATATCGGGTATCTCGGCACCCCCACCCTCGTCTATCTCAATGCCATGTTGTTGACTACTGTTGGGATGAGTGATGCTCAGAGAACTATGAGAACGTTGTTGTTGTTGGCCGCCGAGAGACGTGAAACTTAGAGAAGTGTGAGGTCGGCTGGGCTGGGAGATGGGGAGGTCACCACCGAGCCTGTGTCGGCGCTGGTGGTTGGGGCCGAGAGCTACTTGAGCCATCTGTCTGCCGCGCCGGAGAAGCCCAATGACAGAACGTTGGCCAACGTCAGACTCGCGGGCCGAGGGGAGTTCAGACGGTTCAGACATAGCTTCAACTAGGAACGGAGGCTACTTTATAAAGGGTGCGATGTTTGGGGTCAAGTGAGGGGCGGGGACTTCAAATGCTGGAAAAAAGAGGGAAGAAAAAGCATCCACAGAGCTGAGACTGTCTGAGACCACAACAATTAACGTCATTCACTTGGCGGCGCCAGGCTGAGCGCTTTTCTGGACGGTGAGGGCGTAGGTGATCGGCCGTTAGGTAGTGATCGAAGAGAGACCAGTGAACGCAGGAGAATCGCAAGGATTTTCATAGCACAGCATGGGATCTCACGATCGACGACATTGGGATTGACCTATTGACGGGTGATAGGCGATCCGCGTTGAGTCGCAAACACTCTACCTCAGGTACCCGCCAACCAACAAGCTGTGCCCTCTCTGTTCGACGTGACCGTTAATCGCTGTCGAAGTGTCAACGCTGGGGCTTCCATCCCCTTCACTCGACGCTGTTCACGGACCTACAGGGTTGCAGCTGGCACGGCATCTAGAAATCCATAGCGACGTTACCTTGCGAACACTGATAGATCGGCCACTAGCCCACTTGGGCAGCGCTCAGGGCAGCATAGTGAGATTGGATGGCCCAGAGAGGTAACTTCTAGTCCAATTTCGCCGACGCTTCATGACGGAATGGAATGGTCGCGTCTAATCCAAGCCACAAGTGCTATCATTGCAATTCTCCACATGGCTCTTGCCTTAGTGCGAAGCGCCGCCATTGCCTGGTGCCTCCATGATGCGGACGAAGTTATCGCCCAACCCATAATCAAGAGTCAAAAGGTGACCTATGAAATTTTGACGTCTGCTTGTAGTGGTATAGACAGGTGTTATGCATGAGGTTAATTTTGATAATCACACATGATGAATACGAGGATGGTAATGCGGCTGAGAGGTGGGTGTCTGACGGCATTGGCGAGCTGCAGACAATGCGTTCGTGCTAAGCTACATGAGGCCTACTAGCTCCCGGCCCGGTGGTACCGTCCCAAAGTGTAATGATGAGTGGAGTAAGACGGTAGTGTAAAGTCACGTAGTACTTTGAAGATCATGGAGAACTAAATGACCCGCACACAGTCTTTGGTGCCGACGAGTCGCATTTGACTGATGGACAAATAAGCTTAGGCTCAGCCCCAATTGGCTTCTGCCTCCTGAAAGGGGGCCCCGGCAGAGCAGGGTCCTTCGTTGGGGCTCACGTGCAATGAATGACGAGACATGCTTTGTTGGACAAATGTCCCATGAGACAGACTAGTTATAGCCAGGCTCACTGCACAAACAAAGGGGCCTTGTTTGTCAAGTTGATGACATGGAGCTGCTGCTAAAAATTTCTTCCCCTTCTTTCTCCCCAACAGTAGAGTCAGCCGTGTAAGTGCTATAGATAGATAGCACAAAGACACAGCGGCAATAACTATGCCACAAGGAATCGATCAAGCGACACAACTCACTGTAGTACCAATGTCATTCATATTCAATGGTCTAATAAACGCTGGAAGTCGACTCCCTTGATGGAGCTCAATGTGTTTCAATTCCTTCAGTCAGTTTTAAATTCCAGTTCCGATTCTATCCCCAATAATTCGTTTTAATATTCTTTCTCTGTAACATGGATTTGGCGAACAAGGCTAGATTTAACACGATAGTGCGGGTCACTCGATCACAGCTTCTTGTAAGTAACCACCCAGCATGTTCTTAGACTGAGCCGAGGGCTAATGCGTAAGATGAAAAGGATGACGGCTTCCTACTCAGCCAAGTAAATTCACCTCCATACAAAGTTATCAGACCATCTGCAAGATGTATTCGTAGTCTAAATTTCCTTCAGGTACGTGTTCAAGGCCGGCGAACCGAGACTTGATTCCTTAATAGCTAACACCTCTGTGTTCAGAGCGGCCGGCAAGCCCCCGTCGATGACAACGGCCTGGATGAATGCATTCGCTTCCATTTGGAGTATATGAACTATGAAGTGAGTAGCTCTACCACGTTATTTTGGAACATTCTCTGTACAGACCTCTCAACCTCCGACGCAAAGGCTCTGTTGGACACCACACGGATCACTTTCCTTGTTATATCCTCATTACTAATGCCAGATTCTGCAGGTACTTGATCAAATCAATTATATCGATGGTCGAGACTTATATATAAATCTTTTCAAGGTGAGCAGCTTCCATGATGGTATATGCACGCCAAGAACATGAGCATGACAGCTCACAGCAGCATAATACCTTGTTTTGCAGTACTGATAGCTGACTTTGGTTTGTGTAGGTGAATAGTGACGAAGTCTTTCAAGTCACACTCAAAACGCTGGACGTGTTTGACCCTGACTTTTTCAAGCGGATTAGCAACCGCCAATTTACCTTTTGGCTCATCAACACTGGTGTGCACTGGGCGTCGATCGTCTTGCACGTGGAGGATGGTCAAGTCGTGCACTACGCAATCAACGAGCCTGGGAAGAATCCAGTGCTTATCAACATTGTAGACAACCGTTTACGGCAACTCCTTACAATCGGTGGCATTGCTATACTCCCCGCGTCTTACCAGATAAAAGACGTTTGGTTTCCTACCCAGCTGGACGGCTTCAGCTGTGGCCTGCGGACGTATGAGATCCTGCGAGTGATGATAGAGCGCGTCAATGAGCGCTATCACCTGCACGGCGTAGTTAACCTATATGATGAAAGCCTCTGGGACGCGATGTCGGGTGACTTCCAGCCAAGTAAGGTCCGGCAGCTAATGATGGGCATCGTCGCATGTAGGGCCATGAAGCACCAGGACTACAAGGCGAGGCTATCGGTCACCCCTCGAGAGAAGATCCGTGGTTTCAAGGGGCCCCGGTACGTGAGGAGGCTGGACGCGTTTGACGGGCTGGAGCCGGTCCAGAAACAGCAAGGCGCTGGAGTGCAGGCCCCTCAGGCAGGGCGTCGTGCAAGGAGACTTACGCCCGATGCGAACGAAGATATGGAAGATGTTTGCGATCTACCAAGGGAGGAACCAACGCGAGCAACGCGTTCGGCAACGTCTGGTCCGCACTTCGGATTTTCGAGGTAAGTCATTGGGTCGAATTAGATGGACGAGGGGAAGCCACTACCTTCTGGTTCTCATGCGTTCCTCTTTAGTGTTCCATTACTGCTGGAATGGTGACACTGCCGTGTACATCTAGAAAGGCTAAAAGGGGCAGGCCCCATAGCTTTGATTGTGTGTTTTACACGGCCAGTCTGCAAGTCCAAGAGCATTTAGATATAAATAACATGAACAAATTGTAACTTAATTTCCAATTTCCGCATCTTCACACATTTTATTATATATCTTTTTAGTTTCCTCAGGTCTATCTCTCTTATCCTTTATTTGGTGTGAATACAGCTGCACTGTTTTAGATTCAAGCAGACGGGCCTCGGCCCTGGCTCGATGTGCTGTATGTCCAGCTTCTGGGGCCCGGTTACTCGCTGAACTGCGCATTGATACAGACCCCAGCACTTCTATTATACCTGTAGCTTGGAACCATCTGAATTGCTCCATGGCAACCAGGTGTAAGCTTCAGTCCTGCGCTTGTTGTCGCGGGAGTCAGGCACACGCTTTGTGTGATGGTTCCAGCGAGTGCACAGCCTGGCCCGCTGGCATCTGGGCCCGAGCTTTTGTCCACATGCTTATCCCAGGGGCTTGTAGCTCACTGATGATCACTCTATGCTCCCTTCTCATTCACTTTAAAACAAAGCCTATGCTTGTTCCGAGTTTGGGGGGCCAACTGGAATTAGGAATTCTTGTGAAAGGTGGACGAAGTTGAATGCTTGGGTATTTCAGGGTTAGGACAACCAGGCCACAGTCACCAGAGTGGGCGTTGGTACCATGGAACATGTACGAAAGTGGGTCCCATTTTTAGCGTGGTGCCGCTCCCACGGCTGGGGTTCACGTCGAATCGTCCATTCAGCTTCGTCTTGACCATCACACTTCCAACTTCGCTCATTCATACCACAGCAACCCAACAATCTGTTGCGTGCTGCGGCAGCATCCAACTGTTCTAAGATTTCAATCATACTCATGGGCCAACCCGACGAAGCACAGTAGCAGGCGACACGGATCTGAACTGGCGACCGCCTAGCTGAACCTACCGACGGCAATGGCTGCGGCCCCACCCAAGCCGGCCGACGAGCCCAAGCTGCTCTGGAACCCCGAGAACGTTAAGGACGTCGCCGAGTCTGTGGGCATCAGCGCGCTCAACGAAGAAGCCCTCAAGTGCCTCGCACAGGATATCGAGTACCGACTCGGTCAGGTCATCATCGAGAGCCTGCGCTTCATGCGACACGCCGGCCGCACCACCCTCACCGTCCAGGACGTGTCGCAAGCCATGAAGGTGCTCGATGTTGAGCCTCTCTACGGTTACGAGTCGACGCGGCCTCTCAGATATGGTGAGGCGAGCTTGGGACCTGGCCAGCCCTTGTTTTACATCGAGGACGAGGAGGTGGACTTCGAGAAACTCATCAATGCGCCTCTGCCCAAAGTGCCCAGAGACGCGACCTTCACAGGTAGGTCGCCCCCCTCTTGCCTGGCTACAGCACGCCGTGCAAGACGTTGATTACTAACCTTGTTCCCACCAGCACACTGGCTCGCCATCGAAGGCGTCCAGCCGACCATCCCCCAGAACCCGACCACCGCCGAAGCCCGCTCCCAAGAACTCGTTCCAAAAGGCCCCGGCGCAAACCCTGCCCTCGCCGCACTCGCCGGGAACGACAACGTGTCGTTCAAACCGCACGTGAGACATGTCATATCGAAGGAGCTTGTCATGTATTTCGAGAAGATTCAGTCGGCGGTCCTCGACGACAACCCGGACGACGAGGTCCGCCAACTGCGCAACGCGGCTCTACAATCGGTCAAGTCTGACCCAGGCCTGCACCAGCTGGTCCCGTATTTCGTCAACTTCATCGCGAACCAGGTCACTCATCGGCTGGATGACACCTTCACGCTGAGACAAATGATGGAACTCACGGCCGCCCTGATCGCGAACGACAACCTCTACCTCGACCCTTACGCGTCGCCGCTGAGTGCGCCCGTCTTAACTTGCCTGATGAGCAGGAAGCTGGGCGCGGATGAGGGGATGGACGCGGTCAAGGAGCAGTACGAGCTGCGCGAGCTGTCGGCCTCGATATTGGGCAGCATTGCCAAGAGCTATGGAAAGTCCAACACGAGGCTGCGGCCCAAGCTCACGAGGACGTGCCTCAAGTACCTGCTCGACCCCTCCAAACCAGCTGCGGTGCTGTACGGGGCGGTCAGCGGGCTGTCAGCGGCCGGAGGACCCGAGTCGGTACGGGTTTTGCTGCTACCTAACCTGAAGTCGTTCGACGAGATGATACTGCGGCCGATGCGGGAGCGGGTGCCGGAGTTCGAGATCAAATTGCTCCTGGGCGCGATCGTCAATGCTATCAAGACCATCGATAAGAACGAGATCGGCATGATGAACGGGGTCCACAGCAGCACAACGGAACACACGGCGGCGGAGCTGACCGACTTTCTCGGCGAAACCATCGGCCGTGAGGTTGCAAGCCTGAGTAGTGCCAGGCTGAACAGACAGGTTCTGGACGCCAAGGCGTACAGAGACGAGTAGAGGGGAGCGTGCTCGCTAGGTAGGGCGTGCAGAGGCAGTTCGGGGAGAGGGCGAATGGCGTTTAAGGGTTGTAGCACATGGAAAGGGACAAGGCTTTGCTTAATATTTGATACCTCAGATACGGCGTATGGGCCCTCAAATTGCACGCGCAAAGGCTTCAGGCACATAATCTCCATCGTGAGACACAGCATTATTCCACGAATACTGGCACCAACACTGTACTGAGCACACGTACGAGGTCACTAATTCCACGATTGGTGCCACAGAGCAGGGACCTCATGATCACCAAAAAGGCAATGGCGCCAGGTAAGGTGTAGTCTTGCTTCCAAATCATTGTATACCTATCACGCCCCGCGTGTCATATGTACACGCGCAGAAAAGACAAGGTCCCACCAACACCACCGCAGCTCACCCGCCCACCTTTCTCCAATCGATACTCTTACAGCAGGAAGGCGATACCCAGTGCCACCACGGTGCTCGTACCCCAGATGAGGTACTCGTTCTGCTTGATGGTCGTCTTGCGGAACCCCTTCGCGGTGGAGTCGTGGACGAGGTGCTTGACGCCGTTGATGCCGTGGAAGACAAAGGGCCAGGCGAGGGCGACCTTGACGCCGCCCTTGACGGCGAAGGGCAGGGTGGCGAAGGCGGCGGCGACGCTGGCGGACTCGAGGTGCCACCCCGCGAGGGGCGCGACCAGGTAGCCGACCGAGTAGGCGTAGAGCGAGCCCGTGAAGAACATGCCCGTGAAGCGCTGCCAGATGGAGGAGCCGAAGAAGGTCTGGTTCTTGTCGTAGATCTCGAGGTGGGGCGACACGGGCCGCTGCAGCCGCTGCTTGGCCAGGATGGACTGGCCGTCCGCCGGCGTCAGGGACTGCGTCGCGGCGGAGCGGACCTGGAGGGGCGTCGTGAGGGCGGTGGCTGTGAAGAAGGTCGAGGGCTTTGCTGCTGCTGGGAGGGCATTGCGTGGTTAGCTATGGGCTGCTGGCATTTACTGGGCTGAGCTGAATTGGACTGCCTCGGTGGGTGTGTGGGTAGCTAGGTTTGTAGGCATGTAGGTGCATCGGCAATGTGGATGACGTCTAAGAACTCACCCCGGCGAACGGCCGTCAGGCCTGCCCTTGAGGTAATCATGGCTGGTTGTGTATGTGGATTCCGACCGTAGGCGGTGGGTTGGCTGCTCTTCGGGATCGCGAGTGGGCAATGGTCAGTGGGTGACCAGCATCGAAGGGTGGGTAGGTGGTTGTGTCGGAGGATGTCGACGACGGGACGAATGCTCGCTCGACGTTCCGAGCACTATCATCGGCAGGGTGTTACCGCTGGGCCTGCACCCGTTTATCCTCGGTACTTGCCAGGCGAGAACCAGCCAATCAGAGGCCACCCCATTACCAAGCTGAGTCACGTGCGATTCTGCCGTTTGCGAGACGACATGCCGACTTTTGTCTGAGTTTTGGGGCGTCTCTTCCCTTTCCTCTCCTTCCTCTCTTCTTTCCTCAGTCAGCTGAGGCGCCCGATCACAGCACAACAAGACCTGTTCTTGGTTCGATGAAGTGTGCATCACTGATCGGACGTGTTCTAATGTCGACGGCGTCCTCACAGAGGAAATTGATCCTTCGTTAATCTCTGGACGCTAGTCTCCATCTAGCTTCAGTTTCATTCTGAGATCTACATTCGTGCCTTTTGCGTGTCTGTCCTGTTTCTGCTGGACGGGATGGGAGCTTTGACTGGTAGCCCACCGAGCTCCCACCCTCATGTCACAGCTTTGAGGTAGAGCGGCCACGCTGAGTGATGTCTGTTCTGTTCAATCCGTTGTTTGCACTGCAAACTCTTCACCTGCTCAGTTCTTTTGTGACGAGATGCGACCGACTTAGAGGAGTCAACGGGCCTGGCCGTCTGGGATCTAGGTCATGTTCTCGGTTTCTCCGTCCTCGTCCTTGCTTGATACCGTCAGCAAGATGTTCTTCCCTTTGATGTGTTTGCAAGTGACGCATGTCTCGGAGCAAGGGTTTCGGGACCGTGCAGGCTGGACCTGGCAGGTCGGTAGCCAGGCAGGCATGCATGCCCGTCCCAGGCGGGCAGCGTGTGTTGCCCCATGTAATGCCGTGTCTATGAGCATAGAGGGAGGTAGGGCCGGCTTGGTAGGGAAGGAGCGGACAGGAAGAGCAGAGGGTATCATGTCCACATAGCACCTACCTCCTACCTAGTGGGAGATGGTAGGTACCCGGCTGGACGTGCTATGTGGTTCCTTGCCTTCGAGCCTTCCACGATTGTCTCAACACAAAGTCTTCAGTGTTCTCTTGCGTGTCTCGTCTCCAAACCCAGGTCGACTGGCTGCTCCCTTGGTGCTCAACGCCGTATGTTTCTGTGTCTTGGTGCAGTCTACTACGTCCTCAGGAGTCTTGGCCGGAGCCATCGATACCAACACATCTGCCGCAGCGTTTCTTTCAGCCGTTCGCTGAGCCCAGAATGGCCACCTAAGATGGACATGCTCCTTTTCTTGTGGCTGATTGTCCTGGGTGTCATGATAGTGTTTGCCTTCGCCGGAATTCTCATCTTGATGATCCCCATCATCGACCCAGAGCGTGCTGCTCAGAACGCCAACCGCTAAATGCGTCCACAGCCGACCATTCGGCCTCCCCAGGCATCGTCATCAGCGGCGAGGAACCGGGAAAGGAGAGCTTCTGGAAATGCAACCAAGTCTGACAGGCTCTGTGTCTCGCAAGGCCGGCTCACAGGTAAGCCATTCAAGGCAGTTGTTGCTGTGGAAGATTGCTCTGAGGAAGGACGTCCCAGTGGAGGCCATACGGGCGGGGAGCTTCTTCCTCCAGATCATCCCACGCTGCCCTGCACCGTCCCTGGTAACTAACTACCCAGGCATCCAGAGGCAGAGTCAGAAAGCTGGCCGCTGCATTCACTCCATCTTTTCTGATTACCCTGGAGTCGAAGGTCGCTGCCACCCCTACCGTCGTCAATCAGATTCCAGCATCACCACAAGCCATATTTCCTGTCGACTCTCCCACCCGTCACCTTTGTCAATCAATCTCTTCCCCTTTTAGGTTCAGCGATCACATTTAACTGATCAGCCACTTGGTTCTAGAATCCCATCTCACTCATAAACCGCATCCCCAAACCGCGCAGTCGCAAACCATGGCGCCCGAGGACAACATGCCACAGAAATCACCCTTCGCAAAGCTTTTCGATCCCGATGCACAGGTCGATAAACAGCTACAGAAAATCCGAGACAGGATCTACTATTTCGCCTGGTCTCGTGACCGCCGTGACGAGGCCAAACTGGACTGGGTCCTGTCTGAGAATGGCGTCAATCGCAATGTGCACCTGAGGTGGATTGCGGAGGCCTTGTCAGGATTGAGCCGCAATCACATTAATGGGCTACCCTGCTGGCTGCACTTGGTCAACAGGCAGATCTCCGCAGACTTCATTCGTTTCATCTACTCTGTCAACGACCTCGATATCCTCGTGGATCTGAAAGCCGACCACACCGAACCGAACGAGGCCAAACTTGACACGGTCGTCAACCTCCTGCATAACGCCAACTTTAAACGCTACACCAGATCAGCCCGCGTCCGTATTCACTTTCCAGACAAATACCCCTTCCAGAACCTGCCTGTGTTCAACCAGCACGCGCTTGACAACATCGCCGTGGCTCTAGATGGATTCCAACAGCTTGCACACCTGTCTGTCCGCGTTGTTCCTATGCAAGGCCCAGAAGTCTACGAGTTGCGTCTCGCCACCTTTCCGTTCTACCCAATGTCTATGACCAACTGGTCGATTCGCATGCTCAACTCCACGACCTACAATTGGGATGTCGTGGGAGGAGAGCAGCTCCATCACCTCAACTTGGCTTGGGAATTGTTTCAGGAGACTGGATCACTGACTGCGACCGTCAATCCGCCAGACGGCGCGAAGAGGCCGGCCAGCCACATCGATCAGGTGCCTGGGGCCAAGAGCGTTGTTGATGTGCCGAAGAAGCTGGTAGTGAACCAAAAAAAGAATGGCAGTCAAAAGAGAAAAGGCCGCAAGCTAAAGGCTCTCTCTGCTGTGACAGCTCCAAGTACCAGCAAAACCGCCCCAGAAGTAACATCTGATGATCCGTCACTGCGGTCAAGCTCAGCTTCCTTGGATCATTCGAAAGACCACCCTCCGATTTTGGTCCCTGGTCACGACTCGGGATCTGGAGCGGAGCTCTCTCATACCAAGTTGCCGATTACTGGAATGCCTAGCCAGTCAGCCGAAGAGCCATCTGATCCCGTGTCACCTGCTCACAATTCAATTGGGACCGCTCAGCAGCCTTCGTCCCCTGCATCACCGACAAAGCTGGAGACTACATCTGGCGTGAAACAAAATTCCGCTTCTGAAGTTACTGATGAGAACGTGGAGAACGACAACATTGCGGAACAAAACCCTTGCCATGCGAACCCCATCGACACCGCGCCAGAGGACCGCGTGAATTCAGAAAGCCCACAGGAGAAAACCCCCTCTAGTTCAGCCCCAAGTTCTGTTACGCTGGGCCGCGACCAGAGCGAGGATGAGGCCGCGATTCATAACACAGTTGAGGAAACACCGCAAGTTGAAACCACCATGAGAGGAGCAGGAGTGGAAAGCGAGAAACCAGTGCAGAAAAAGAGACGAAATCGGAAGAAGGGAAAGAAGACCCAGTCGACTGATACGGCGGCTATGCCGTCAAATGACGAGAGTGATCAGCAACTTCCGGTTGAATTAGAAGACAATGGCAGTACCATTTTCATCAGCACTGTCGGTGCACAGGGAATCTTCCCAATAAGCAAGGGGTTGGACGGCATCTTATTCAATGGCCAGCGAGAATTTCCTCTGGCAGAGATTGTTGAGTTGGAACGTTGGACCGAGGACGGGGGGTTTCTCCGGTACAAGAGAGAAAACGGACGGCGCGGCATCATTCAAAGGAATCCTGATCTCGACAGAGTTCTCCGGCAGAAAGAGAGAATGGCCGCTCAAGAAAGTCAGAGACGAGCGGAGAAACTATTAGCCAAAGGGAAGAGAAAGACAAAGAAGGTGAAAGAGGTCATGATCCGACGCAAGGGGGACTCAAACGGCCTTCGACGGAGTGTCGAAGATACAAAGCAGCTCGCCGGCGGCAGAGAGGGCAGTGACCTACGGAGGCGATTCAACGAAATTACAGGAGAGCGTCTCGAGAAAGAGACCACTGCGTCCCAGGCCAGTACTTCTGAGGATTCCGATTCCAGCGATGAAGATGCCTCTTCGCCAGAAGGCCAGTGGTCCTCCCCGGAGCAAGCAAGATATCCTCAACGCGAATCGTTGATCCGCCATGAACACCTTGACACCAACTCTGTCTCTCACCACCGCAACCCTTCTAGCTCCTTCCACGCTGTTGGATTTAGCCTCCCCGGGTCTACTACACAAGTGCTTATGTTCCCAAAAGAGGACGATACAGGCGAGGATGGTTCGCAGGTCGAGCATGAAGATGTCGAGGAGCGGGGGCATGCTGACATCGGCTTGAGCGGGACTCCAGCGACCAATTCTGCATCCGCACACCAGAGACACCACCAAGGCCGTCAGATGGACGAGCAGCATTTGATCGAGGAGCTGGAAGACTCGGGCGACTGCGCATCTGTCATCTCTCAGTACGGTGATGAGGGACCTCCATCCATCTCTGATGACGAGAGTCAAAACTCTGCCACATGATAGAGCCAATTTACATTGGTGCCATAGGGGGGGCCTTGAGCGGTTATCACCGACTTTTGATCTGCGCTCTTACCGATGCGAAAATTCCGAGGGCAATCATGCAGACTCATTAAGCCTTCAACTATCTCTGATGTTTGGTCGTGGTGGCTGGGATCCCACCGAAACAGGAAACGCAGCAAGGAGTCAGTGTTTAGGCGACGGAAATGGATGACATGGTTTTGTAAGAGGTCAGGGCACAGGAATGGGAGTTACGAAGGAGATCCAGCCACTTCTGCCGGAGTCCCCCCTTTATCGGAAAAGTTAGGAGAGTTGAGAAACCAAAACAGTAAAAGACAAAAACTGAAATTAGATTATTCAAGACTGGGACAGCGTGTGATGTGTGGCCCTGCTCGTGTCGCTGTGACTGCTCCTTGAATGACTGGCATTTGTACACTCGTCCTGTCAGCTTTGGCTGTTGATGGAGCCAGGCACAAGCCAAAAAAGTCTCCATTCGAGTGCGAGATCAACGCCGAGGCCGCAGGCATCACCATTAAATGACCCGTTCGCTCTCGAGTCTCATGGACAAGTTGAGCGTACGGCGCCAGCTCAGGGGCCAAGTCTACTCGTTATCTTGCGTCCCAATTCATCACGATCCTGACAAATCCTTAAAGCCATCAGTGCGACCAACAACACACACACACACACACACACACACACACACACACACACACGGGCCCACGACGCGGCGCATCAAAAAATGTCTTGCTCAGGTCGTCTGTGACCTACTCAGGGATGGAGCCGACCAAAGTATTTCTTCATTTCCATGTCAAATCGTAGCAAGGTGATATATCTATTCGTACACGATCGGTGTTCATCCGGGGTAGCAACAAAAGAGAGACTCTTGTTCAGGTGTCACACAACACACACACACCCTTCCTTCCATCTTTTCCTTCTCGCCAACAATGTCAGACCAAACCGACCGCCCATACACCTTTGGATGCGAAATCACCGTATTATTTCGTCGTGGTATGTGGTATGTGGTATCCCTGCACTAATGCCGCTGAAACGCCTTTGCTTTTTTCGTGTTCCTCTCCGTCTCGTCCCTGTCTTCCGGTGGGATGTCTCCGCGCCCCCCCCCTGTTGAGCAACAGCTTCTAGATGCAAGCGGGGTAGAAGGAAGAAATGCGGGAAATCAAAACAAAACGAATCATGCCTCCCTCTCCTTGTTATAGTGGTTTTGTTCTCAAAACTCCGGCATGCAAAACGACATCAAAGTCTAGTCAGGTCGTAACAGCCGAACATCATTTCCGTCGACAAATTGAACGACAGCTTGCCTCTTGCCGTAAACGCTAAGCTGTCCAGAAACTCTAGTCCCTGTCCAGTAGTGCATCCAGGCCGTTCCTCTCGTTCTCCAGGCTCTCAGCGGTAATCTTCTCCTCGTCTCTGTTGCTGGCACTGCCTTTGCCGGCAGTGCCCTTCCCCTTGACCTTGAGCTCATCCTCATCATCTTGGTTGACCATGTCGGCAAACATCTGGTCCACAGCCCCATCGTCGATACCAGCGTCGTCCGCTCCACTCATAGCCGCTCGGACGGTATCGAAGGCACCAGGACCAAAGATCTCCTCGGCCTTTCGTCGCCCCTCCTGGGTTTTGGACAGCATCTCAAGAGCAGTTTGTTGACCTGCTTCAGTTGCCATGTAGTCTTTCAATGTTGAATCCTCCGGCTGGCCGCGGAGTAAACGGTCCTCGAGCGAAGGACCAGAGATACTGTCTGCCATGATCTGTGGTCCTCCGCCGGACGGCATGAAAAAGTTGGGATGGATATTGGCATTGGTACTGTCGAGGTCCATGTTCTCAGGGCGAATCACCGGACCACTGGAGTCAGCTCGCCCGTATGGGTGGCCGTGATGAGTCGAGGATGACGACGATCCGGGATCACGTGATGGATGGGCGTGAGAGCTGCTCGCGATCGACAATCCCGGAGTCTGTGGTTGTGACGATGTGCCTCTCTGGTAGTACGAGGCATAGCTGTTCACACCAGGACTCGTTGCTGGGCCAGCGGTAGAGGATCCTGCGACGGCCTGCTGGTGAGCCTGAGCGGCCATTTCAGCATTCTGGCGCTTGCGCTTCAGGCTCAATCCCTTGGACTTCACATGCTCCGGCAAGTCCTCTACGTTAGTGACCCCATGCTGAAGCAGCAACTTGTCCAGCTTAGTAGGCCGGGGCTTCCGGGTGCTCTTCGACACTTCGATGACTGGGGGAGGATTTGGGGCGACGGGGTGCCACTTGTGCAACTCTTGGCGGAAGAAGTTTGTCTCGTTGGCAAGGAGAATCTCCGCACCCTCTATCTTGCGCAGGTAGAATCGCTGAGTTTCGGCCTCGTTCCTCGTGGACAGTACAGGATTGCAGTATGAGTGGATGTGATTTCGAAAGGTCTGGGCATTGTCGATGATTTGCTTCAAGACGGTCTCTTCCTCGGGCTGGAACGGCAGATTGGGGATCTCTTCATCCCAGTCGAGTAGGTCTTCGAGCCTCGGCCTTGCTGCGTCTCGAGGGATCTTCACTCGCCAGTCGCATATTGGACATGTGTATTTGTCTTCCTCTTTGACCTTCCCGCGAGCGATCTTCAGGCACTTGCCGTGGTACCTAGGTGAGGTTAGCAAGATTCTCGATTTACTAAGAGCAAGAGCACTCACCATTCATGACACAACTCGCACTCGATCATCATGCCTGCCTCAATTCGACGACAGATACAGAAGACCTCTCTGAACTTGGGATCGTCCCACCTGTATGCGGCATTCTTCTCCTTCTCAGGCGTCGGCTCTCTCGAGGCTGGCTCTGCTGGCAGGCGGGGCTTGTCCTTGGTGATGTCGAAGCAGTCAAGATTCCGTTCTAAAACGTACTCCATGTGGCTCTTGAGGATGTGCAGCGGCGCGTTTGTCTTTCCGAAGAGCTTCTTGCCTTTGCGCATCCAGTCCTCATGGCGCCGTTGCTCCTTCTCTAGGTCGAGTGTCCCTGGAGGCTTCGACTGGAGGTCTTCAACCATTTTCATGATGTCGGCAACCTCTGTGTACCTAGGCCTCTTGCGGAAGTCTTCGTTCCTCGTCCGAGTATTCAGATCAGCGATTTGACGCAATGCCTCCCGTTGCTTGTGCAAAATCTGGTCAACCTGGGCCAGCACCTCTGCTGACACTGGGAGGAGGTTCTGCATAGCCTGTTGCGAAAGCGCTTCCAGCTGGGGATAGTGTATGACATCTGCTTCGATGATCTCCTTTGCCTTCTTCTCCCATTGAAAGCCCGCAGTGAGCTGCTCAACATAGAAACTGAGGTGGTCGTTATAGGCCTCGATCCCGCTACGCCTAGCCTCTTCAACGAGTTCCGCAACCTCCTGTGAAGACATGAAAACGCTGCGGTTGGCCTTGGCCTTTTGGTTCCACTTCAGCTTGTCTAGGACCTTGGAGAGCTTCTCCATCTCCTCAAGGTCGACGTTGAAACCATTGCCCTCCTCGAGCAATTCTTCAACCGCCTCCACCTGGTGCATGGATGGGTGGTTGATCACGTTCCTCGCATTTTCCTGGAAGGTCCTGATCGCATCCGCCCTGTCCTGGAGTAGCTGTATTTCTGGGCAGTCGAATCCAATCTGCTCTGCTTCATGCAGAAGGCGGTTGATGTTCTCAGCCTTGCGCATCTCGCGCTCTTTTTCGTCTTGATACGCGCTGCCTATCGACTTGCGCAGCCCGGTTTGCCAGGCCTTTTCGTTCTTTCGTCGATTCTGTTGCTTGCGGATCGTGTAATTGGTTGCCTCTTCGACCCAGCGGTTACAACGGTCAACAAACGCTCGCAAGAGAGGTAGGGTTTTGAGCTCGTACGGTATGCGTTCTCCTTCGTTAAGTAGATTCCGCAAGGTCTTCAGCGAAGGGGTTGCCTCCTCATCGAGCACCTTGTCGTATTTCTCCTCCCATGCCTCAGGCACGTTCGCCTTTTCGGAGACCTTCTTGCTGGTTGCAGTGATGACCTCGTCCGACTTCCGGAATATAAGTTCGTGGTCCTGGCCAAGGTATCGACTGCTTTGCGTCGCATCGCAACAGGGCTGGCTTCCTGCATGCATTAGACAATAGACCTTGCCAGATTTCAGGCATTTGAACCTCGACAGGTAGGCAAACGCCTTGCAGTACGCGCACGAATACTCTTCCTCCGAGACGTCTGTGTCGTCAATCTTGAACGAAAGGGGACACGGCTCTCCTTCATTCTCGCCACCGAGAGCACATTTGTGAGGCGACGCCGAGAAATGTTTTGCGGCAAAGTCCTCTCGCTCGGCGAATTCGCGCCGGTGAACCCGTTCGAGTGCGGGAGCCAACCACTTTGCCGTCGGGATCGTCAAGCTGTTGCTTATGGTTCCATCCGCAGCAGTCCACAAGAGCTCATCGTGGGAGAAGCAGGGCTGTCGCCGATATGCTTGCAAACGCTCAACCCCGTCCAGTCCAAAGGGCTCCCAGTCGCAAGGAGCAAAGTTGACCGCCTCATTGAAATTGAACCCGTGATTGAAGCCAGCATGATATGCTGACGGAAATGTGATGACCATCTGGCCAGCACGCTGATCAACAGCATAGACGCGTACACCGGCTTTTTTCAGCTGATCAGGTGTGAGTAGCGTGACGAGCTGAAACAGTAGATCAGGGTTGGTCTCGAATAACTCCGGAACGGCCTCCTTCATTGCCTTCTCGAACTTGTCGGTGTCCTCGGCAGGGATGCCATACCAAGTTTTCGTCGCGCCGAAATGCTGGTAGTTTGCGGAGTACGCATAGTGATCCTCATTATGGTAGCAGAAGGTGGAGAAGATCATGCCGACATACACCCAAGGCACAGTCATTCCTGAAATATCCGACTTGATATGTCTGAACAGGCTCTCGTGGTGATATGGAAGGATGTTCAGGTTCCATGGGTCGGTTGAGTAGGGGTTGGTAGGATGCTTCTCGACAGTAGGGAATCCGGATCCGTGTGTAGTGCAGTGGATGTCAGCGCCATATTCAACCTGTACCTCCTCGTCAACATCGGTGACTAAGCGCCAAAACTCGCGTTCAACGTCATCCTCGGTGACTGGTCTTGCGCAGCCCAGTACGGGATCGAATGGCATGCGCTTCTCGAAGTAACCCTGCTTGAAATCCGCAGCCTTCTCTTGGAATTGGCGTAACGAGTACAGTCCGCCTTCCTCGAAACCGAATTGGCCATCGCCGACGAGACATCTGGGACAGTTCCATTCGGAGTCAGGCTTTGTTTTAAGCGGCGGATCCAAACAAGCACCGTGATAAGCGTGGTCGCACGACTCGCAAACGGCGAGGAAACCGGTCTCTTCAGCCTTGCCGCAATGTGTGCATTTCTGCATGTGTTCAGTCAGTAGCGCTTCATCCAGTACATTGTTTGGTAGGGGCCGACTTACCTCTCCCGGGCCGGACGTGTCTTCTCGGGGCGATAGCCGGGGCATCGGCCGAAACATGGACATGTGGGATCCAGCTACGGTAGGAACGGCTTCTGTAAGTCAAGAACGCATTAGCCGGATGATCCTTCCAATGAGATGCTGTAAGATCCCCTGTATCCCGGACACGCATGCTGAAGCGGTTGATTGCATGACTCGACCCACACACCACAACTCCCACCCAGGCTGCTACTTTGCTCAGTCGTGTGAGGCGCCCAGATTGAGTTTTGGGCTAGCTGCAACCGGTTTGTGTTATGTGGCAGGGCTCCGCCGACAAGCGGAAGAAACGGTGAATGAATCGGAATCGCCACCGCTGCGAAAACCACAATTGCCACGTGGTGCCAACCCGAACATCACTTGCGATGGATGAATCAAAGGAATAGAGCATGGGGATGCAAAACTTACCTTTCTTGAGCCGCTTACTCCTCCGGCTACCGTTGTCATCGTCCTTGTCAAGGCCGTTCTCCCTGGCCGAGTCGAGGCTGTCAACGCTCATCTGCCTCTTCAGCGAGTTTGCTGGTCCCAGGCCAGAAGGTCGGTACTCCGGCGTGTTTTTGCTCGAAGTCATAGGACTCGTAAACTGTTTTGAAGGGGTGCCAGATTTGACATCAGCCGCGGGCGGGCGATTGACACTGGTGAACCCCGAATTCACTGCGGTGAAACCACCGGAATTGATGGCTGTGAATCCACTGGTGACAGACTGCGGTGCCGAGGGTGCCGATGGTTGGGCCTCCTGCATCGGCGTATCCCTCTCTGAATTTACAGAGGCCTGCAATGCGGATGATGCGAATCGTGCAGGGGATTCACCTCTGAGGCTGGAGGGCGTGGGCATGTTCGAATGCTTCATGGGGCTTGGGGCTGGGCTTGGTGTCAGTGGCCCGCCGTTTTCCGTCTCCAGTTGCTGATAGACACCAGGTTTGGCAAGCCGAAGGTACTCCTCGTATGGACATAGCCATTTCTGGTACGAGTTTTTCAGGGAAGTCGAAAGGGAGCTCATAATCTTGCCGCTGTAGCCCAGGTCGCGGCCGATCTCAGCCCATTTCTTGGACCTGCAGACCTTTTCAAAGCCACCGCGAGACTCGACAGCTTTCTTGAGCCGCCAGAGATCCAACGGCCGCTTGTCGACATACGGCATTCGGACCATGTGACCCCCATTCTGCTTGTGAAATTTGAGAAGCGAGTCGACGTACGAGATATTGGCTCGGCTGCCTATCGCGGAGTGGGCGCACTTAGTTTCTCCAGTACCAAAGAATGCTGTGGGATAGGGGGTGAGAGATGCTTACTGCCTTCAACAGAATTGAGATCCTGTTTCCGAGTGCGGAAGTGAAATCTCTGTGCTGCTTGTCAGCCACATGACCGCTTGACATGCCGTGATAGCTCAGGGGCGAGAGCAAGACTCAGAGCGGCGCATGATGAAGATATTTACCTCTGTGTCAATAGCAAAATCTGGGTTCCAAGAATCTGGTGGAATAATCTTGCAGAGGCCGTAATCCTTGGCTTCGGGTGTAATCTTGCGAATATATTCCATGGGATCCTTCCACTCTTCCTCTGTAGGCTGGTAAACTGGCGCATCCTCCAGGTCATAGATGCGGCCCGTCTTCTTGACGGGCTCTTTGGGCGCCGTAGGCAGGCCTCGGCGTTCGACTGAAGACAAATCCAACGGCAGGCTCGTCATATTGCTCAAGGCGGTATGTGGATGTGCAGAAGTGCCGTTCGGGTTGGCCTGCACCGGCTTTGGTTTGGAGGAGAGGGCTTGGGTCGTCGGTGGAGCGCCCACGGCGGGTGAGGCTCTCGAGCTGGGATTTGCACTCGAGGTGCCGGCGGCGCTGGGACCGCTCGCGGCGGCAGCGTTGGTCGCAGTGAAAGGCATCGTGGAGAGGGTTGTTGCGGAGAAGTGTCGAGGAGGGCAGGCAATGGGGTAGCCTGGTCAAGGTTGAGGTCGGACTATGTCGCAGCAATTGTATGGCGGTCCTTCACGCAACACTTGGGAGTCGGGTGCAGGTAGACACGATCGCATCGCAGTGCATGCCGATCTTCTCCGTGTTGTCGCACAGTCGACCAAATCTGTTGCTACCGAGCAGTTGCTCGCTGGCGGGTGTGTTTCCGGTCGTACTCAAATTCGAGGTACCATATCGACGTGGTCGGGCAGGCGGGCGGAGTAGGCAGGATTGTCGGCAAGAAGGACAGAGGAAAGAGAGTTCGCTGGGGATCGAGGCGACACTGGCTCATGCGCTTATCACTAGTCAAGTCAGACGGATGCGGTCTAGGTCAGATATGTTTTGCGCTGGCCTTGTAGGTGGTGAGACCAGTGCGCCTTGGGGAGAGAAGGGGGGGGATTTGCCAGGGATGAAGGGCTCCGATGGCCTGGAGGATCGCAGGCAAGGGACAAGAGAGTAGCGGACGGGGCAAATGCGAAGTGAGAGAGTGAAAGAAAAGGCGGGAGCGTGTGTAGGCTGTGCTGTGCTGTAAGAGCGGGAATGAGAGGGAAGGTGCGGGATATGGCAACGGGGTACATGTATCGTAAGGTGGGAATAGGAATGGGCGGGTACGTACTCTACTACTCTACGGTGCCCAGGCACGGACCGGGCGTGGGCATGGGGAAAGCGAGCGGGTCAGAAGTGAGAAAAAGAGGGAAGAGGGAGAGAAGGAACAGGCAGTCGACCGCAGACAGGGCTGGCTATCAGAACGGCTGCATCTGTGCGGGCGCATAAAGCACGCCAAAACCCGAATGTGAGCAACGAACAGTAGACTAGATGGCACGCAGAGGCGTGCAGGGCAACCGGGGGGGGAGAATGGGACCCTTTCAGAAAAGCTGGAGAGAGGCGTGGCACCGATTGACATGGGCGGCATGGATTTGGGACATGGGACATGGGACAACCAGGCAGGACCAGGCAGGGCCAGACAGCAAAGACTTGGGTGGGACGGGACGTTCAATCCATCATCATCATCTGGAGGCTGATATGGTGCATGCGTGTGCAGGGATCCACTTTTACTCTTGTACCTGGGAGCGGTGGCGAATCTGGTACAAGCCCAGGTACCGTCAACTCAGCGTCGCTGCTCCCTGACTTCAACCATCTGCCCATTTTACCACCTGCAATCCCAGACTTCGAGTCCGTAGAACACAGCAGCCGTTTCAGATGCGACATGCACAAAGATCCCCAACATCCTGCTTGTCCCCTGGCTGCTGCAATTGCCCGAGTGTGTGGGTGGCTGTTCCCAGGCGGTTCAAAGGGCGTAAGCCGAGGTACCAGCACGGATGTACCCAGCGACGGACGGTCGGCTTCATGACACAAGATCTTGACACTGTCGCATCGCAATGACCACGGGGCATAGCCGACCTAGACAACTGCCTAGGCAGGGAGTTGTCACCTAGGTTGATACTAGCAATTGGTTAGGGCGGAGACCTGGTAGCTAGCACAGCTCTGATCAAGTTTAAATCGCGGCCTGATTGACGTTGCCCGTGAGATGGATTGAATATGGGAGGCTAGTGCTCTCGGGTGGTTTGGCCGGTCAGTTGGTCGGTTAGTGGGCTGATGTCTGGATCTGAGGTGGGGAGGGACATCAATTGATGCTTGCGGGCCGGCGTGCGTGTTGGTGCTTGGGTTGGCAAGGCGAAAAGTCGGCCGAGCCGGGCGGGCAATGTGGCAGCCAGCAGTTTGCAGCCCTGAGGAGGCCTGCCCAGGCTGGGGTGCCACAATCTAGGCGAAAACTTGGAGCCCCCCCATCTGCAACCCCAACTTTTTCCCACGGGCTCGGTAACGAGCTTATTCCAACGCCAAACCATAGGCCAACATCTCAACAACGGGAATCAAAGTAAATCGAAGGGATGCAATCGGTGCATCGGGTTGAGACTGTCGGCAATGCGGCCGTCCCTTCTGTGGCCCATTTCGTGGCTCGAGCAAAGGGGCAGGGGGCAGATGGGCTGCTTCAAGATGAGGTGAGGTCAGGGAGCGACCCTGATATCGGCAGGGGCGGGTGACTTGCATCGGCCGACCCCCTGCAGCCTCCGCCCAATAGAAAAAGACATGTCGTTGAACGGGTCCGGAGGGCAGGTCCGACCTTCAACGACATCTCCTCGCACACACCGTACCTGCCCATCCGTCCCCGGAGCCGCATTTCGACTTCAGCCCATCAGGCCAGCTATTATTCTCCCCGTTTTGCCATGGACGTAGATTCTTTCCAATTCTGATGGTGTGCACTGATGAGCTGAGATAGGACTGCTCCTGCACCAGCGTCATTCTCGATCGTCTACCCGGTCAACATCGCCGTCACCGCCGTTAACCCTGACATGTTGCATACCAGTTTAGGCGAGGAACCTGACAGGATTCCAAACCTGATCTCCGTTCTGTATTTCCGTGTGTCCAAAATTGCAAGTCTATCTGCATCACCACAGTGGCTTGCCGCTGACGAGAGGACCATTTGTGTTTGTGCTGTCTTCTTCAACCTTCATAGAGTCGCGGATCTCCAACCTCCATTGTGTTATGTATAGCAGGTCTGGTTCCATCTAGCCTGTTGATGTATGTGAAAGTATAGCTTTGGAATACGAAGATTCGCACCTGCAAAAACGTAGGGTACACTGATACATCACCAACTCACGCCATAGCTACAGCTGATCAGAGCACATCACCCAGGTTTAATTTACACACTCACACCCAACACCTATACATCTAATACCCATACGTTCAATACCTACATACCTAATACCTACACACCTACACACCTAACACACATACCCCTAATACCTATACACCTAATGCCTAATACCTATATACCTAATTTATATACTTAATTTATATAAATTGGGTGTGTGTAAATTAGGTGTGGGTGTTAGATATGGGTATTGATTATGTGATTTCTTATGTGGTTTAGTGCTAGTGATGTACCGGTGTACCCTCCGTTTCGGCAAGTGCGAATCTCCACGTTGATAAATTAAGGAAGATTCAAGCATCAGACTTAGCCTTGACTTTTCTTTTGGCCTTCGACTTGGTCACGCCAGCAGCACGCCTACTACTCTTCAAGACCTTTTCCACTTCCTTCTGACCCCTTACTCGAAGTGTAAGCTCCCTCATCATGTCTCCCCATCTCACCGTGCCATCGCACTTCGGGCAACGACCGTCCACAGGCAGTACCATCCCGTTGTCTTCGCCCTGCAGTAGGTGCCGACTCCAGCAGTCCACGTGGCCCATGCCTTCGCACTCGCCGTTGGAACACATTGCATATAAGCCCTTGTCGTGATCGAGGTGTTGGAGGCAGACGACGCAGTTTCCCTCACGCTCGAAAGTGGTAACGTTCTGCCCCTTCTCAAGATACGGGCCCAGCGGCGCGTAATCGAGAGGGAGGGCATGGACTCCCCACTTCGGCCCCTCGGGCTCTTCCTCGTCCTCTCCGCCGTCTTTATCCTCGTCCAGGTCCTCAATTACACTCCGCCGCGCTGCTTCTTTCCTCCTGGCCTCAGCCTCCACGACGGCAGCAGGCTTGAAGTCCGTGACGACCTCCAACGTCGACCGCAGCGGCTCCACCCCTGCGCCGGCGAGATAACCGGCCCACCGCGCGTGCACCTCCCGGTCGAACAGGCGCAGCGTCAGAGGCCACCTCGCGAAGCTGGGCACGCGGAGCAGGAGGTGCAGGTTCGAGAGGATGGACGAGATGGTGTGCGGCGGCCGCTTGGGCCGGCCATTGCGCTTGCGCTGCGTCGAGACCGTGAGGCGGTCCTCCGGGGAGATGTGCAGCGATAGGTGCGGGTTGTTTAGGGCCCATCTGTGTATCTCACGGTTGGGTCAGTACCTCGAGGCACCAAGAATGGGGGGGAGATTCAGGCCGGGATGGAAAACTGGACGGGACTGGATAGGCCGTACTCAAACTTCAAGGCGCCCACCATGCTTGGGAAGCCAGACACCACGCCCACCATCTCCCATGGCCGCAGGCTGTCGCGTGACGTCCGCGCCGCGCCGCCCTTGGCCTTGCCGTTGTGCTGGTTCAGGCGTCGCGGGGGGTGGGGCGTAGATCCGATGTACAGCGAGGCACGGCGGACCGTGCTGCGGAGGATGTAGACCACGTATAGGGCTGGTATTGGTTTGGACTGGGCAGTCATTGTCGAGTCTGTGGCTACATCTTCGGTAGGTGCTTATGGTCAGACCTCGCGTCGGGTCTTGTCATACCCAGTGAGGTCTGATGCACGCGGGGCTGTTCGACGCTGATTGTTGGTGTTGGTGTTGATGTTGATGCTGCGCCGTGGGTCGCCGGAGTGATGACGTTGGGAGAATGGGCCCGTGCTCAATACACCACAGCAGGTGGTGGGGCCCCTGTCGGGCGGACCGTCGGTGCACTCGGGGTCCAGATCGACCAGGGTGTTGCAATATCTCGCGACAGACGGACTTTGCTTAGAAATCTCGACTTGAGCTTTCTCTTGCAGCAACTGCAATAATCTCTACACCTGAATCCTCAACAGACACAATGGGCGCCGATCACCCAGCTTTCACACTAGCCGGCCTATGTGAGTAAACCAATCTCCCGTCCTCGCCTCGCGCAGCATGAGATTACTAACGTGACTCCTGCAGTGGCTGTCGGCGGAACGATGGGATATGTCAAAGGTGGCTCAAGACCCTCACTCATTGCAGGCGTCGGATTGGGCGCCTCATATGGCCTAGCTGGTATGTCTGTTTCTGTCATTCACCTTCTATCAATACCGGAATTGACGATTTCTTGCAGGCTACCTTCTCAAGGAGAACAAGGATTACGGCTCAGAGCTCGCGCTCGGCAGCAGTGTCACCCTACTCGGTGCAGCAACAAGCAGATGTATCAAGACCAAGTTCAGGGCCCCTGTGCCGCTTGGTCTCTTCGCCACAGGTGGCCTGGCCACTTGGTACTTCTTCAAGAAGTTCAGGGAATTCAATTACGGCGTGTAAGGGTTCTCTCGGCTTGGACGGCTGGTAACATGGTCTTCTCCACTGTTCATTGTGCAATCTTCATGATGTTTAGGTAAAATGAAATGCCATAAACACACGCAAGATTCAATGTCATTACCGCATGTTCTGCACCTGTAGGAGACCATGAGGCTCTTGTGGAAAGCGATGGGGACTGCTTTGCATTCAGTTTAGAGTGAGGGTGTCAGTAGATGACTGCTGAAGTGCTGCTCCTGCTCACACATCAAGTAGAAGCCTAGGTATTAATAAAGCCCTAGAGCAGCTTGCCTCTGCCTTTAAAAAGGAGGTCAAAAATTTTGAAAGGCTGAGGCTTCAAGTCACTTTCTTGCTCAATCGATCTAAAAACATTTCGAACGAACCTCCCACCCACTCAACGCTTTTGCAATTCTTAGCAAACGGCCACCAAGCTCATGACCACAACGCCATCAGCCTAGCCACAAGCCAAGCACAAAATGCCTCTCCGACACGCTTCCACACGCGTGTCAACAGACGCACCACCATCGCAGGCTGGTGAGTCCCCACAAACAACCTTTCATGATCATCCCACTCTCCCTACGTGCAAGTATAATGATAGCCAATACTAGGGGCGCGATGAACCCTTGAACCTGGACGAGTATGGTTCTCGCACGGTACGTCGCATCCTGGATTTCTGCTATCACCGTACATACTCCGATGACGAGTACCCGGAGACTGTGGCGCCTTTCCTCCTCGCCATGACCGTCGACGACGTCCGTCACGCTCTTGAAGCGCCGCTTGCGGTTGTGAGCGATGTGGTCGACCCAGAATGGACGGGACATTGTACTCAGAGGGAGAAATCCGAAGGGAAGGAGAATGAGGGGGTTGGGGATCAGGACGAATATCTGCCGGACCGTTGCGAGGACCACGACTCCTCAGACGATGACTTCGAGCCTTTAGACGATGAAGACTCTCTTGTCAACCTACCTGTCGAGAGGCAGGGTCCGGCGACGTCCCCGCAGGCTCCATACACAATCAGCCTCTTCGCCAACTTTGAGGTGTACATCGCCGCAAAGGAGCTCCAGATTCCAGCCCTTCAACTTCTTGCCCGGGAGCGCTTCGCCCACACCTTGCGGGCTCATTGGGACCGATTTGTGCACCTCGATTCACTCATTGAGGAGGTCTATCTGCGAACACGTCACGACGACCCCCTCCGCGCGCTTACCTGCCATATCGTGGCCGCGGAGTACGACAGGGGGCAAAAGTTGGATTTCAAGGTTAAGGTCAGGGAGGTCGTGGCCAGGAACGGAGAATTCGCCACAGATGTGCTTGACGCGGTGCTTCGACTACAGAGCGAGTGGGTAGACATGGAATGATTCACACCAGCCTTGTGCGCTTGAGTTCTTCCCTCTCAGATTGCCAATTTGGCCATAGTCACTCTACCTGTTTGGGCATGCCAGCCTTGGTGGCTACATCGTCCCTGTATGAGCAGAGCTCCTGTCTCTACATTTGTCTGTAGCAACCCAAGATCAGACAGACATACAGAATCTTGGACTTCAGGATCGCTAGTTAGAGACCAGTGTATCATTGCGACGTCCTACATGTGCTTCCGGGAAATTGTGCTATTCTAGCTAAAGTGACTTCGCCATCTGGAGCATCTCGCTCACGGCGGGCGGGCAGCCGGCCCGCGAGCTCGAAGCGCTCTTTATGAGCGAGCGGAATTCCCAATGCTCATTTCCGTGGGCCGGCCCGTTCCAGCCAAGTTTAACCATTGCTTACAACAATATAACATATTCCACGGGTACTAGGGGCAGTAACATAAGGCTAAGCACTCCTTAAATCAAGTATGGCTTGTTGTAGGTTACCCTATGTGATATTATATCTGGGATGATAACCTTTAATCAGGGGAATAAATAAATCATTCAAGATAACCGCCCATAGGACAGATTTCTATAGAATAGCCTCGTATGGGACAACCTCCTATGGGACAACCTCCTATGGGACAACTTCCTGTACTTGGATTACCTACCTAGGTCTTGTGTTCTCAGTTGTGCAGTTGTTCAAACGCTTTAGAATTTTGCGTCCAACCTGAAATTTCAGCAAGATAGTCATCGATGAGTCCGTTGGGTGCTTCATCCCTTCATGTGGGATGATCGGTGTCCTCACCGACTACCTTCTTTGCCCGTGATTAAATCCAATTCGACGACGTCGCATGGCTCCCGGAGCGAGCCTGACGGCCTCCCAGTCAGAATTCCACGTCGTCGACCTGGACCTACGTCCTAAGTGTGTTGCATGTTGATCTTTCGGCGCATGCTCCTCATCCTCCGTCAGTGAAACCATGGGAGCGTAACGGGTTGCAGCCCACCTGCTGGTATGCTGCCGGTTGCTGTTGAAGAGAAACAGCAGACGTATGTAATCGCAGCAACATAGGCTACTTCTTAGGAAAGGTCAGGGTCCAAACAGCTTTTGAAATGCAGCGCAGTCAATTGATTGTGCCGTCATATTCCCTGATTAATCAACGTACAAAACGATTTACTTCAAAAGGTACCAATCCTTGTAGTGTTGGGCATGCTCTATGCGGGAAAGCCGATCTGCAGGTACTGCCACCACTAACAAATTTGCGGGGGTCATGCACAGGTAACTCGTCAAAATCACAGGCTATTTCGTCAAAACCTATCATCTGCCCAAGTACTTCAGCAATTTCCCACACCTCAATTCCATGTATGCTACACCCTCGTACCTATTATGAATGACCGCGATGATATCGAGGAATATCATTCAAGTATGACACAAATGCAGCCGCGAGCGATCACAATCCTCGAGACAGTCCCTGACGAAGTCTTGCGCGAGATGTTCCTAAACGTCGCAGCAGGATATCCAGGATACGATGAACACAGCTTCCCGGTATTTGGCCCACATCCTCTGCTGCCGGTGGTGCAGGTCAACAGACGGTTCAATACGGTCGCCAATCCCCTGCTCGTCCGCAACTGGCAACTGAGCCCGGCTGAAAAGAGCGGTGCCAAATTCGTGCTGCATCTTCTGAAGCACCCAGACCTGCGCTCCCAGGTTAGGTCCCTTGCTCTGTACGAAGCCTCATCCTGGTCCCAGGCTCCGGACGGGCGCGCGCGGCGAGAAGACGACAACCGCACCCCGCGAGCACCACATGACAGGTGGCCTCAGACCTTCTGCTCCACTGTGGAAATGGAACAGCTCGCCCAGTCTGCTGAGGAGACATATCCCACGCTGTCATCCCGGGTCCATGATGGCGAAGAAGATTCCTGGGCCGGCCAGATTAGACAGAGATCCCCCTGTGCGATAGCTGCGTTGGTCCTGGCCTGGGCAACGGGGCTTCAAGAGCTTGACCTGATGGTGGACGCATGGACTGAGGGAGACCCAGGCTTGTGGATGATGCGGCTTGTGAGAATAGCAGTGGGCGTGCAATCGCCGCTCGGGGTTGATGGTCGTGGCCTGCCGCGAGCACCTGACGTGTTCACGAAGCTGCGTTGTGTCTCGCTGGGCCACTGTACGTATACTTCCGTCTTTTCTCCACTTGCCACCATACAAATGGCTACAATTCGAGTATCTGGGGCCCAGACGTGTAACTAATATATCCAGACGGTCCCAATGGACTTATGCACGCTGCAGCATTCTTCCGTCTCCCGAGCCTGCGGGTCTTCAAGGCCCTCGGCATGGACATCGCTGGGTTAACACTTGACGTAGCCGACCCCTTGGGCTCGAGAAATGCACTGCAGCCGCCGGCAGACCACTTGTTTCCAAACGGAACATCAAGCGTCGAAGAACTCCATTTGCTAAACGGGTCCCTCGTAACCGACAATGGATTCCGCGTCCTGACGCGATCATGCAGACGCCTTCGGGTGTTGATCCTTCAATCGGAATGGAATGATACCCGCGATATCCTCTACAGCGAGAGCATCGCCGCCGCAATCAGGCTACACTCCGCCTCTCTGGAGAAGATCTTGATCGAAGGTTCTGATGACTATGATGATTACTTGAGTGACTCTGATCCGGGAAGCTTGGGAGACTGCCTCTTACCGTGCGTTAAGCTGGAGTCCCTTGTGATCAATCTTGTGGTGCTGTACGGACGCGAGCATTACGACAACAATCCGTCCCCTACGCCCTTGTCAGAACTGCTGCCCCCGGGCCTCACCGACTTGGGACTCTCTTTTAGAATAAGGAAATTTCCGCCCTCAGGGGCGGGTCAGGCAACTAAGGACAACATAGTGGGATTGCTGCGCCAATGCGGCCCCAAAGGTCGATTCTCCAGGCTCAAGAAGATTGACCTTGTCGGCGATAGTGCCGAGTTCATGGAGGATCAGGAGATCATAGCCCTGGCTAAGAAGGCGGAGATGGAGTTGACACAGCACGACGGGTCAGGTGGCATGGTGTAAATTCTGAGATACAATGGAAGAGCCGTTGACAGCTGTAGGCTTTCTCCAGTCGGGAAGGTTGTGAGTATGTGTGTGACTGGGCCCCATTGACTGCTAGCATTTACTGAGGCTCTGGGCCCCACACCCCTCAGGCATAAAACCCCTCGCCTACAATTTCTACCAGACGTCTTCCTTACATAGAAGGGAGCGCCGTCTTGCTTTGAATTGACGTATTGAGGACAGCTGCCTTGTCTCTGTATTCCCTCTCGTGACAAACGTCCCAAGATCGTAGAACTTATCACAGAGACGGGTACATAAATTTTTACGAGGTTTTTTTTTCTTCTATCTTCAGGAAAAGAGAATGAAAAGAGAGGGGGCAAAGGAAAGAAAATAACGAAAAGAAAAAAGAAAAAAAGCGAAAAGGGGCGTGTGGGGGGGATGGGGGAAGAGGAGGAAGAAAGAGCATGAAAAGAAAACAAAAAGAACGACGATTGGTTCACAACACATCCGTCTCAAAATGATACTAATATTTGTATACAATTATCTATCCAGAAACATTCCGCGCCTGGCATTAGTGACCGTTGGAACCATTCTCCACCCTATGCGTACCAGAGACAGGCGCACCATTGTTCGCAGTCACGCTCCCGCCCTTGCTGACATCAATGCTGTTCGCATACCTATTCTTCTTGTCGGAAGCCATACCGTTGTGCGTGCCATTAAAGCTGAGGCCCGCGATACCATCATGCCCCTTGACGCCCGTGGCCTTCTCCAGGCGCGCGGCAATATCCGGGTCGACCTCGCGGAAGATGGCGATCTGGCGCTTGATAAACTCCTTCTCTTTGCAGACCTCCATCTTCCCCGCGACGTTGGAGATGAAGCGCTCGCGCGCAGGCTCGTCGAAGACCTTCTGCCACAGCGCGCGGGGGGCGACAAAGTCCTCGGGCCGGACCTCCGACAGGAAGGCGATGGCCTCGCCCGTGAAGTGGCTGTGCGTCTTGTCCAGGTCGACCGTCCGGGCGCGGAACTTGATCGGGTCGATGGAGGACAGGTAGTTAGGCCGGGCACCCTGGTTGAAGAAGGCCATCTGGCCGTCCCGCTGGAAGTTGCCGAACTTGTATCCTGTCCTCGGGGCGTTGACTGGCAGCTGCTGGTAGTTGACGCCGATGCGGTGGCGGTGTGTGTCGGGGTACGAGAACAGCCTGCTCTGGAGGACTGGATCGGCGCTGGGCTCGATGCCTGGTGGCATGTGGGCTGGGCTGAACGCAACCTGCTCAACCTCTGCGAAGTAATTGACGGCGTTCTCGTTCAGCGTGAACTCCCCAATCCTGGTGAGAGGGAACTGCTTCTGTGGCCAGACGTGCGTCAAGTCGAAAACGTTGATCTTCTGCTTCTCCCAAAGCTCCTCGGCCTCCCTGGGTGTCATTGTCTGGATTTCGACAGACCACTTGGGGAAGTCACCATTTTGAATAGCCTCGTAGAGATCTTTCTGGCTATAGTCTGGGGACTTGGACGCTGAATCTTTCTGAGTGATAAACTTGACTCCTTGCTGAGACTTGAAATGGATCTGGCTGTAAACCCACTGGCCGTCCTTGGGGACAAGCTTGACGGTATGCCCCAGGTATCCATGCATAAAGCGGTAGCCATCGGGGATTCCACGATCACCCATGAGCACCATTACCTGGTGGATTGACTCTGGGTTGTTGCAGAGGTAGTCCCTGTGACGATTTATGTTAGTATGAGCGCGGGCACACCAGTGGGAGGGAGGCACGAACCAGAACATGGTCGAATCGTCTGCATGGGTCAGGTGGGTTGAAGGGTCTCGCTTCTGTGTGTGGATGAAGTGTGGGAACTTTGCCGGGTCGCGTAGAAAGAAGACTGGGGTGTTGTTCGCAACCACGTCCCAGTTACCGTCTTCCGTTCGGAACTTGACGGAGAAGCCTCGAGGATCACGGGCACAGTCGTGCGAGCCGGACTCTCCACCGACTGTTGAGAAGCGCACCGTGACTGGACATTTCTTGCCCTTCTCGGAGAAGATGTCCGCCGCGGTTATGCCGGGTATGGGGTTGGTGCACTCAAAGAATCCATGGGCTCCGCTGCCCTTTGCGTGGACGACCCGTTCGGGAATCCTCTCTCGGTCGAAGTGTGAGAGAAGGTCGATGAGATGGAAATCCTGCAGCAACAAAGGGCCGTTCTCGCCGACTCTTTGAGCCTCGTATGGGTGAGGCACTGGGGCCCCGTTGGAAGTCGCATAAAGGGCGTCTTTGGAGGCCACACCACGGTCCTTCTCGTATGCAGAGAACTGGGTGGCGACATGCCCTGCGAAGCTGGTATCTGCTGAGGGCGCCATGTTGAGAGTCTGCTTGGCTGTTTCGATTGGTTGTGAAATGATTTTCGGGACTGTCTGCATTGATTTTAACATTTCAGCAAACACCTTGGCGGACGACATGAGCATGGACGAAGCAGAACGAGTCGAACTTATACCTCATCTTGTCTTCAATCTCTAGCTCGCCTCCACCAGCCTGGCCAGTCGAGCCACCGCAATTCTCCATTACGAAAAACACAACACACGCTTGTGCCGAAATACTGCCATGACGTTCAAGAGTCTATGACGAGCTTCGAGTTCAAGGACACATCGAGATTGCTAGAGCAAGTTAGCCATATCGCAGCGCACGGAGCAAAATCTCCGCATTCTGTCAAAGTTGCGTTTCTGTGAATGGGAATCTGGTAAAATCCCATCCAAAGCGTGGTGGCGTGTCGGAGAATTGTTAATTGGTCGTTGGTGAGATCTAGCGCCCATGTCTTAGAGCTGTCCACGTTGATGATGACATGATTCCTCAGGAGTAGCCACCTGTATTTTCCTACCTGCCTACATAGCAGACCTGGAGACGGTAGCACAGAAGCTCGCCTCCGATGTTCTGACACCGAAATCTTGCTTTACCAATGCCTCCCATTTCGGATGATCAATGTCCCTCTGTTGGTTGGCTGGCCAGACTCAGGCCGAACACTTCTCGGTCCGGCGTCATGAAAACGTAGTGTAGGTAGTTAATGTGGGGCACTATTAGCCTCCGTTAGGGGGTTTGTGCTCTTTGCGGGGGAAGGGCTCCGACACCTAAGGTTCATTGGCTTCCGTCGGTGACTAGCCGGCCGGATGACCTGATTGAGCCTGAGACACTGCCTTTTGCCACCTGAATAGCTCTCAAGCCTACTGCAGGACCACGGAATTCTACACGGCGTAGGCCACCTTTTGCGTCCGCGGATTGGTTTCTCTGCTTATGTACTTAGGTAGCTGACGTCCCAGCAATACAAGCACAAGGGTACAAATGTGGCGCTCAAGCCCTGATACCAGGCGGCATACTGTTCCTTTTGACACAGCATGGGACGCAAAATATCCTGAGCCTGGCTGCAACTTTTTTGTAGGATGATGTGGCTCTTCGAAGGATCCGAGTGGCAGCTGAAGAGGCGCAGACGTATCAAATGCACAGCACGCTGCGGGTCAGGCAGCCATCACCGCATGCTGCTGGTGGTCTGATGTCAGCAAGATTGTAAACTAGCGCGCTGTCTGTTTCCTCATGATGTCTTGTCCATTCACCCATAGTTGAACCTAACGCTCAGATAGGGAGATTTGGAGCGCCGACAAAATGGATGCAGACAGGACTGAGCCAGATGAAACCACCAGGCTCTTAGCCAACCAGGCCGATGAGGTTAGAGGCAGCGACAACAGGTCACCTGTTCGCAGGCTTAAATTCCTGCAGAAGCAAATCATCCTCCTCGTGCTTGTGCTGGTCCTCCTGCAGTTGCACTTGATCTTCTTCAGCAGCGCTTCTGGAGAGCTCAAACTACGGAAGCTTTGCTACGAATACTTGAAGGACCACGAACCCGGTAAGGTTGGCCCCGGGGGACAGGTCGATCTATTCGATTGTTACTTTGAAGAGCCGGTAGTGCAGCAGCTGCGTGAGCTGCTCAATTGGGACTGGGGCATATCATCCATCCTATGTGAGCCTGTCCGTACGCCGCTCCCTTCGACTAAATGGGGTCTAATTCTGCTATAGTGCTCCTCATAGTTTTCCCGTATGGCATGGTTGCGGATCTGCGTGGCAAGAAGAGAGTTATAATCCTGGCCCTGGTCGGACAGTTGTTGTCTTGCCTCTGGACAGTTGCCGTAGGTGAGTAAATCTTTGGCCACCTCGTCATGTATCAATGAATATGCCTTTCTAACTACTATATTCCAGCCTCTTTCTCTGACATATTTCCCTTACGACTGACTTGGGCCGCTTCAGCCTTTTGGCTCATTGGCGGCGGCACTCCCCTCTCGGTCGCTCTGATATATCTGCTCGCATCAGAAAGCCTCCATGAAGAACAGAGGTAAGCTGAAAGTCAAAAGACATTTTCTTCGAACCGAATGGAGGCAGTGGCTAATGTCTGACCAGGAGTCAACTTTACTTCTTCTTATATGGAGCTTACCTCGTAACTGTAACCATCTTTCCGACTATTGCCTTTATCGCTACCCTGCCATCAGTCTACCCTCGGGGTATCAATTTCACTGCTCTTTCTCTGTGGCTGTTTTGTTGCCCTGAGATATGTGGATGAGTCTACAATTCGAGATGATTCAGGACATCCCGAAGATTCTGAGTCGACAGCATCACCCCATACAAATGAAACAACAGTGGTCTTGCCAGGCCAGGATTCTCGACAAGCGAACTTCCTCACGCTGCTGAGGTCACGCAAAGTCTTGTTCATCCTTGTCATCTTCACTCTGCCAGCATTTGCCCAGACTGCGTTCCAGGCGGTCACCCCGTACTTGCTAGTGAATCGTCGTCCAGACGAGACGTTACAGCATGTTCTCCTTACCATCTTTTCGGGCGAAATCTTTAGGGTCGTGCTCTTTGCATTCTTCGCTCCCTGGGGTATCGCTTTCGCGCAGGGACGCTTCAGAATACATCAGGCAAAAATCGACACTTGGATAATCCGTGGCAGCCTTTTGCTCATGGCAATTAGCGGCGCCTTCATGACATCGGCTACGACTGTTGCATCACGAACCATTGGTGAGTCGGCATTTGGAATTTCCGTGGAACAATATATCCCTTTACTGATTATCATAGCTGTTGTGGTCTTTTTTGCGGGCTTTGGCTTGAGAGTGCCCCTGTTGTCATATGTTACTTCCCTGGCCGGACCAAAACTCCGTGGACGACTTTATGGTACAGTCCTGGTTGCGGAGACGATAGGTCAACTCATCATGTGGCCTATTTCCCGAAACCTCATGGTCAATGTTCACAAAAGGGGAGACCCGTGGCTCGAAGTACCTTTTGTTGTTATGTCGGTACGTTATTTCGTTATCGAGCAATGCATGAGTTTCTGCTGACAGTTGTGTAGGTCACAAGCGTCTGTGTGTTGGCGAGTATCATGGTTTCACGAGCTATCTCTAATTAATTAGGGGTGAGACGATTCAACATCAACCTTCCTGAGACTGTGAATTGAAGAAAGCCGAACCTGTTGGCCTTGAAACGGGTGTCACCACTAGAAGGTCCGAGTGCTTGCACCCGATACAAGTAGTGACACAAGACAAAACGCCACGGCATTTCGCGGTGATGATACCCTGGATGTACTCGACAACATCCGTGGCATCGCTGTCTACGAGGCAGGATCCGGACATTTTGCAGGATACAGAACTATGTTAGAGAATTCCATGCCAGAAAAATGCGTTTTGGAAACTTGCTCGTTCCGCTGGAGCCGACTCTTGATGCTCCGTTCTCCGAGAAAAAATGCGGACGACTGAATGGCTTTTTGGACCGAATAAAATGGGGAAACCGCATTTCACTTTGCGGATAGTGGAGCATGTCATCACTACTTAACGAAGAAGCATGAGCAACGTTGTAACATGGAGGAGCACGTCATTCTGGGAGATGAGTTTAACAAGATTCGGAGCTGATGGCTCAGATTGGGGGGCTCGTCGCGGCTCAAGCTGGCACCTATTAGCATTCTCGCATATATCTGTGGCATCGTCCATAGAGCTCGCCCTCGGAGTTTTTCGCCACTCCTGGTCAGTGACCAGTGCTCACTGACTGCAATTCAGAACCATCACCCATCTTCCAGCTCAAGCCCCAGACTTGGTTGAGACCTTCTGACCCGTGGCCATGTACCGGCCGAGATCACAACGCGGACGCTGCGCACTCAGATCACCACCCAGGCTCACAAACCGCTGACCCAAGCTCCTTTCATCATCGCTCACACTCAGGTTCTTTGTAGGCCCCTGGCACCCAGAATCCGCGGGTCCACAGTGCCGCCGGAGTTGCCCTTGTTCGCCTTGCGCGTGCTGTACAGGCCCAGCGGGTCCGCCTCGCGCCAAGGGATGTTCTTGAAAGGCCACCACTCGCCTCGTCGGCTCAGGAAAAGGGGTGTCAGCTTCGGGCGGTGGAGCATCATGTGGCCGCCGGGGACGGGCTTGAACTCTCGTCCGTTCGAGGTGCAGACCAGCCTGCCGACGATCTCGTCCATGCGGATCCCGTTGTGGACCCGGCTGAAATCTAAGTAGCGCACGATCTTGTTCAGCATGATGAAGTTGGGGTCGCGCGCGTGGATCGGGTGTGTGTCGAGGTGGTGGCCCATCTGGAGAAGACAATCGTGTACAAAGGCACGCCGGGTCGTGGGCTCGATGCGGAATCCTGGAGGCATGAAGAACCTGTTGAACACGTCTAGGAAGCGAGCTTCGCCATTGAAGAGTCGACCGATGAGGGTTGCGAGAAGAGTAGGATGCATTCTGTTGTGGGCAATCTCAGTTAGCAAGGCAAGATCCACTTGTGCCAAAATCAATTCCATCATTACAGTGCTATGGACTTACAATCCTATGCTGTTAATGCCCATGATACAAGACAAAGCAGTAGCCCGAAAGAAGTATTCGTAGGGATCCAGAATTCCTCGCTTGAACTCCACTTCCATGTGCGTCTCGCCGTCAACGTTGCTAAGAGAGTTGTGGTCTGGCCTGGGTTTGATGTATGCTGGGCGAGGACAATTGCCGCAGAGAGCCTCAGATATCTTTCCTGGATTCTGGATCATCCAAGAATATGGAAGCCGATCCTGCTCAGCAAGAAGAGGTTCGGGGAGTTGGCAGAAGACGGAAGCACTGTCGCTGGCTCCATGGGCAAGGTGAGACCCAAGGTTGTCGGGTTTCTCGCACTCAAAAGCTGCAGGGAACCGGTCAAAGATGGAAATCGACTCGATGGACGTATCGATGGGGTGCCGATAGATGCTTGCAAAGTCGCTGTCCGAAGGCATCGCAAGAGCCTGCGGATCTCGTGCCAAATGGGCGGGTGTGTCGTTGGGGATGGTCAAGGGGACCTCGATGTCGTCAAGATCCACGCCGACGACTCCCCAATCGAAGGCCTCCTTCTGTAACGGATTGGACGTCAGTATTCGACTGCTCCAGCAATGGGTTCTCTTATCCAGCCCATCGCTTCGTGCAAGCAGTACCGGTACTGACCTCGCCGGCATTTGAGTCCATGGCTCTGCCTGATAGCCGCCAATGGGCAACAGCTTGTCTCACTTCGGGATGTATGTGGTCTCTGAGGAAAGTCTTAGCTGATATGTCTGGTCCGGCAAATAGAGGTGGCTGAGAAAGGAGTGGGTAGAGATACAGGGCGAGACGCTGAATGGAAATGAGGGATGAAAGAGAGTGGTAGTACTCAACTTCACTCGGGGGTTTAATCAGATTGGCAGTGAATGGCGAACAAAACGAAGAAAAAGAAAAAAAGGCATCCTGACAGAGTGATCGTGTGCAAAGAATCACTTGTATCAGATCAACTTGCCCTGGCTTCATGCTCCCAAGTTAGCCCGAATGAATATCAATACAGCCATTCCACTGATCTTGCTATTAACCAACATCCATAGACCAGAAGCAGGCTTCGAAGCGCGAAGATCTCGGCCTGCTCTTCGACGCGCGGGTCTTCCCCAAAATACAAGTGTAACGGTATAGTACAAATTGAGAAAATGCTTGTTCAAATGTGGTATTCTCATTATTTTCATGCAATCTATGGATACCTTCAGTAGCCTTGCCTGAAGCCTGGCGAGGCTCCGAGTATATCTGAGCAGCACCTGAGGAATCCATTAGAATCTCTAGTTATCTGATGCAAAGCAGGACCGAGTTGACTGGAGGACCTAAGAGTAGACCGCTTGTTCGTTCTTTATTTGTGCCATTTGCAGCCTCCTTGCAAATTCTGGAGAATCTAACGCTGCCTACGTTGCTTCACAGCAGACCTTGCTTCTGCAAGTCATAGTACACCTTCTCAGGCATGACGTTGCCTTCAGCATCTTCCATCTGAACAATGCTGCCGTCCTCGATCTTGTTCGCCTTCTTGTCACGCTGCCTCTTGTCCCAGAGCTTCAGCGCTTCCTCGATGCCCGTGATGTCTCGGAAAAGGTGGGTGTCGTTGATGCCGAGCCGCTTCAGGCCATAAATATGCCGTGCTTCGTTGAAATGCTTCTCGAAGGCTCGGCGGCCCATGTAGACGAAGTTTCCACAGATCTCGCATGGAAATTCCACACCCAGGCCGTGTAGACGGTAAAGCCAAAACGGAATGGGTTTGCCGTCCCAGGCGAGCGGCAGCTTCAGAGGGTTGTAGATCTTCTCCTCGCCGTCCTCTCCTTCAGGGTCATTTGACTCGGCGACCTGTGGTGGTTGCTCTGCCATGCTGAACAGGTTGTCGAGCTCCTGTTGCCGTTCCCTCTCCGTCATTCCTTGCCGCCGCTCCACATTGACCCGGGTGTCTTCTCGCTCTGTGCTCATTGCGCTGGCGAGGCGCTTCACTCTGAACTCCCGCTCGGCCACCGCGCGCTCCTTCATTCTTGTCGCAGAGAATCTTCCAGAAGCAACTGCGGCATCTGCGGCGCCTTCCTGTCTCTGCGCCAGGGCTTGCGCTGCTTTGATGTGCTTTCGCCCGTTCAAGTGTCCCTTGTAGACATTCTCGTTCTTGAACTCCTTCTCGCAAGCATCGCACCATACAGCGTCAGCAGTGCTCAACTCTTTTGCTGCCACAGTAGCGGCAGCCGACTCATTCACCCAGCCCTCGACCTCATCTTTCTCCCACGCCTCTTCAAACTCCTTATCGAACGACTCGAGAACCTTGCTGACGTTCTCCAACGGCCGTGTACGGCGCATGAAACTTTCCAGGTACTCTGCCACCTCGCCAACGTACTTGAAGTATTGGTCTGTCAATTTGTCCGCTCTCTTGACGCCGCCGTGGCCCGGGGCGAAGTTGTCGAATATTTGAAGGTACTGCAGGTATCCGAGACGCTTGACGTTGGGCAAGTTGATGTATGCCTCGTGGCACGCGTGTAGGTCGAAGTAACGTCCGTAGGCCTCCTCGCCAGAGAACATGGCATCGACAAGGGAGGGGACAGGCTCGTCGCCCGTTTTGCGCTGCCGGTAGCGGATCTCGGAATTTTCAGCCTGCTCGTTGGGATATCGCGCGTGATGCTCCCTCACTTCGTTCACCTGCTTGTAGAACTCTTCGAAAGGGTCACCGCTGCCAATCTGCAGGACCTCTTTGGATCGGAGGCCATTAGCATCGCGATACAAAGACAACATCTCTTCGGATTGCTTTTGTATCTGGTCAAGGAGCTGAGATACCTCATGGTCTCGGTTGAGGCGATCGCGGATCTGCGTCGTGGGGCACTTGGTCAGCTGGGTTTGTAGGGGATCCGGGCAAAGAAGGCCATCACGTACCACCTTGGGCTCCTCGCCAATGCGATCTGCGACGCCTTGCTCGAGGCGCTCGAGGTCCTCGGCAATGTATCGCTGCTCCTCCAACAGCATCTTGATATCTGCGTGTCAGAGGTGGAAAATGTGTCAGTTTCGCCCGTCCTGCCCACTGCACTTCTCAAGCTGAAATCGAACGAATTTAGTAGGTGGTTGCGTCGTCGGCTCTTGAAGTTGTTCTGGGGGCACGGGCCAGCCGAGCTAACTTTCCGATAAGATAAGCTCCCGCATTCTTGACCATCCCTGCAGGAATTTGCTAGTTAGCCTGCTCACCTGCAGATGCGTAGCCCAGTCCGACTTTCGACTTCATTCATTCTTTGCGCCAAAACTTATCAGCATATCAACAAAGCCAACGGCCCCCGAAACAGTCAACTGGCAACCAAAGCATCGTCAGAAATTCAAAATGGCTGAAGCAGGTGGCATTGACCGCAAGGCCGAGGAGAGGATGGAGTTCAACACCTCCAAGGAGGTCACGGTCCATCCTACCTTCGAGTCCATGTCGCTGAAGGGTAAGGCTCAGTCTTGCATCGCGTGCATTTCCTTTGGTAACGAACGCTGACACAGCTTGGCAGAGTCTCTTCTTCGTGGAATCTACGCTTACGGTTACGAGTCTCCCTCGGCTGTTCAGTCCCGTGCCATCGTCCAAGTCTGCAAGGGCCGTGATACAATTGCCCAGGCGCAATCCGGAACCGGCAAGACTGCGACTTTCTCCATTAGTATGCTCCAAGTCATCGATACGGCCGTCCGCGAAACCCAAGCACTCGTCCTCTCCCCAACACGCGAGTTGGCCACCCAGATTCAGAGCGTCGTCATGGCTCTCGGTGACTACATGAACGTGCAGTGCCATGCCTGCATCGGAGGAACAAACGTCGGCGAGGACATCCGCAAGCTGGATTACGGCCAGCACATCGTTTCTGGAACCCCTGGTCGTGTCGCCGACATGATCCGACGCAGGCATCTGCGCACCCGCCACATTAAGATGCTGGTTCTCGACGAAGCCGATGAGCTGCTCAACCAGGGATTCAGAGAGCAGATCTACGACGTGTACCGATACCTCCCTCCCGCCACCCAAGTCGTCGTCGTTTCTGCTACCCTCCCCTACGATGTGCTCGACATGACAACCAAGTTCATGACCGACCCCGTCCGCATCCTTGTGAAGCGTGACGAATTGACCCTCGAGGGTCTCAAGCAGTACTTCATCGCCGTCGAGAAGGAGGACTGGAAGTTTGACACTCTGTGCGATCTCTACGACACCTTGACCATCACGCAAGCTGTCATCTTTTGCAATACCCGACGCAAGGTGGACTGGCTGACCGACAAGATGCGTGAGGCCAACTTCACTGTCAGCAGCATGCACGGCGACATGCCACAAAAGGAGCGGGACAGCATCATGCAGGACTTCCGACAGGGCAACAGTCGTGTGCTCATTTCCACTGATGTGTGGGCGCGTGGTATCGACGTCCAGCAGGTCAGTCTGGTCATCAACTACGACCTTCCAAGCAACCGTGAGAACTACATCCACCGTATTGGCCGATCTGGAAGATTTGGACGCAAGGGTGTTGCGATCAACTTCGTTACAAGCGAGGACGTGCGCATTCTGCGAGACATTGAGTGTAAGTTCCTCGGGATCTCGATTTGTGGGCCCTTGCTGATTAGCCACAGTGTACTATTCGACCCAGATTGACGAGATGCCCATGAACGTGGCCGATCTTATTTCTTGAGGACGTGACCCAATTAGGCAGGCGCAGATAGTTTCCCGGCTAGGGAAGGGACGAGGGGCCTTGTGTTGGCCAGGGCTGTGAACGCCGAGTAATGATTGTGGGAGGAAATGGGTCAGATTGCTTAGCTAGTAAGTCACATGAGCACGCGACCTGCATGCAGCCTCAACTGACAGTGGAACGCAAGCTACGAACTATCGACATTGCACGTCGTGCCCCCTCCATTCAAAGCCAATCCTCTGTGAACGATGCTCGTTGCAACATAGAAGAAATGCTCGACCACAAACACTCGGCTCCATACTACACGGCCCTATGTCGTCATGGCTTGGTGGCACAATCTAGCGTGACTGACGACCTCATAGGGAGGTGGCTGTCTTGGAGGGAATGTTCCTCCCATGCGCTCTGCACCTTGATCAGCGTTGCCTCCAGGTGTCCTGAGGCAATGGCAGCCATTCCAAATGGCCGACCGCTGAACTCAAGTCTCCAGTAGGATTTGCTCGAACGGGTTATCCTCTGTCGGGACAACCTCCTGTCTACTCTGGGATATCATTCCCTGGGACAACCTCCTCTGGGATAGCCTCCCGTGGGATAGCCTCCTCTGGGATAATTTTCCCTGGGATAGTCTTCCCTGGGATAACTCCCCTGGGATAGCCTCCTCTGGGATAACCTCCTTTGGAATGAATTCCGGAGCTGTTACCTTGGAGTAAATGACTGGGAAGGTTTGTTCACTAGGCTTCGCTATCGCTAATCTTTGCTTGTTGTATTACTCACAAATTGATGAGTAACAAAACATTAAAAATCAAGTAGTCCCCCCAACTCTTCAAAAAAATCTTGTGACATCATTTGCTGTCTTATAAATGCGAATCGCCCAAGTTCTGCATACCTCTCAGGATCACGACGTCCATCAAGTCTTCAGTTGCTTTCCCGAGGCTTCAACAGAAACTGAATTGGAGGATTTGACTCTTGTTGATGAAAGACAAATGGTGGTGGGCCCCCGAAAGAGTGGTGATCGAATGGGGCGCGACAGGGGGTATGGAAAGACTGTTGCTTGACTCAGTATCCTCCGTATGCTTCTATGGGGCGAAGCAGTAGCTGCGTCCTCAGCCAGTACCTATTGTAGTAAAGGTAGAGAATCACCTGGTACCGAACGAAGCTATAATGCCTAGTTTCCGCCGTCAGCCATATTTATAGTCAGGACCGGCCTGCTTGTCCATGTGTAGAAGGACATTCTACCGATCAAGTCGGCCGTGGCATTCATCAGTTGGCTGGAAGGGAGGCATGTGCACCTAAGATCGTGAAAATCGCGCCCGGGCCCTCCCATGGTCCACCCTTTCCTGCGAGGGTGCCGTCTCCGCTGCCAAGGCCCCATGCAAGATTGACACAAACCTTCCGTCGTGGATGGCCGTCTAGACGGCCAACAGCTAAGCTTGCTGGGCTCCAGAGGAAAGAGAAAGTTGAGGCTAGACAGTGCTAAATAGTACTTGTTTGGAAATGGCTGGGGACATACACACGATCCGGGGCTGGCCACAAAGTGAGGCCGTCATCATGTCACTCAGCCCAGGCACCATCACAACTGACTAGATCGCCGGCACCCCGTAATGGTTCGGTAGCTGGGGGCTCGCTTCCACAAAAAATCTTCGAACTGACAGCCCTGAGAGGATCTCGATAGAGCTAGGGGCCCAGATATCTGGAGACAACCAGAGGGCTCATCTCGGCTGCGCTTCCTATCAAGGTTGAATAAATCGAGACCCATCGATCAAATGTGGGACGACTCCAGGGCGCTTTGATACTCCCACTTTCCTGCGTTTGAAGATCAAGAACAACGGCTGGGCCATCGACAGACCTCCTACAGACCCCTCAACACCCGCCTGCCAATGCCGGAGACTTCCACCACACAGACCTGCGTCGGCCCCATCATTGTGGCAGCGTGCCCTCTACTAGCAGCTGGCTGGGCTGGTCTTCCCGCGCGTCCCAGTTTTGCTGTCTACTAGGCGATTGGAGGAGGCAAAGTTCTCTCCCGCCCACTTCTGTGCAGCGGTGTGTGTGGCCTGTGGATGCTGCATCGTAATGATGAGGCGTGCATCACGGCCGAAAGACATGGCCTCGCTGCCCACATGAATTCCGACCTCTTAGACTTTGCGTTTCCTTGACTTCTCTGGCCTTTTCACCTGTCATATCTCACTTGTCTCACTACCCCAGATTCGCTCTCTGCAAGTCCGGCATCTGTCAGTGCAGGATCGACATCCCAGGGGCCTCTCTTCGATGTCCCTTATACAGTACACCCCCACCTCCTATCCTCGCAGTACTCGAACCGACAAGGAATAACGATGGTTCTCGGCCCCCAAGCGTACCACTGACGAGCGGCCTCTCTACGTGGGACAGGGAGCATCCTGTCTGTGGTTCTACTGCTTGAGTCGCAGCAACACAAGCGATGTCCACTGAGAACAATGGGGTTTACGACCTCAGCGAGTCGCGCCAAGGCAACATCATAGCATGTGCTATTCTTACATGGTTGATATCAGCCGTGGTCGTAGCCAGTCGCATGTACCTCAGAGGGAGCTTGATGAAGCTACTCGGCCCTGAGGACTGGGTGATCTTGGCGGCCCTGTTCTTCTCCCTCGCACAGAGCATCGGATTCACTGTCATGGCGGGTCTAGGGCTGGGGAGACACGTCGTTGCGATTCCACCGCAGAACTTCCTGCCCATGCTTGAGGTAAGCCTCTTGCTCACTGCGAAACAGGAGGTACATGGGCTTAAGAGTGTAATGCTGACAGTACATGTTACAGGCATCATGGTTCACGATCCTTTTCTACACATGTAGCCTGTCTCTCTCGAAAGTCAGCGTCCTGCTGCTATACTTGCGGACCCTGACGTTTGACTGGACGAGAAAAGTTCTCTTGGGCTTCATGGTAGTTGTCATACTTACTGGCACAATCAATCTCATTCTCGACTTTACAGCCTGCATTCCTCTTGACGCATTTTGGGACGGGAGTGTGCAAGCTACATATTGCCATTCGAACGAGGTTTACTATGGTCTCACAGGGGTGCAGATAGGGACAGATTTTCTTATCTTCCTGCTGCCACTGCCCGTTGTCTGGTCAATACGAGCACCTAAAGACCAGAAAATAGTGCTCTCGATAGTGTTCTCGTTTGGTTTCTTGTTCGTCATCTCTCCCCACATGTTGCGCTGGTCTCTCTTTTGGCAACTGACAATCAACCACAGCATCTGCATTGTCTCGATCATACGCATCGTGCTGCTTGCCACCATCCAAAATGGCCCTGACTACAGTTACATGGGTGTGGAGACTACTTACTGGTCCCTGATAGAAATCAACACGGCCATCGTCTGCGCCTCCATAATGACGCTGAAACCGCTCTTCAACCGCATATTCACCCAGTCAACAAGGCAGACCACGGCAACACCAGACGAGGCCGCTCCAGGCCACCACCATCAGCACATCCCCCTGCCGACCATCGGGTCTCGGCCGTCACGCAAGGCGGTGCCGCCGATCCAGACCAGGCAGTCGTGGCTGAGCGCGCAGCTGGCCAAGCTGGACAAGTCGCTGCAGACCGTCTCCGAGACGCGGGTCGCCGGAAACGATGAGGAGGCCAACCTCCGGAGACCCGAGACGGCGACGGCGGGCTCGAGGAGCGATACAGAGCTGCCGCCCTGGCCGCCGGCGCGGGCGCCCGCGGGGAGGGACAGGCTTAGCCACAACTCTAGCATCATAACGCCTGTTGAGCAGAACGCGGATGAGGGGCCCTTGAGGTGAATCCCTCTTATGATTGCTGATTCGGGCATGACTTTTTTTATGTTGAGAAACTGAGAGATGATTCATGTTGTAACCCTGATGTGTCGAATACGATACAGCGCTTGGATACAAGTCAGAAACACCGCACTACTCCATTGTGAGAGAGTATATCAATCAACATGATATTATGACTGTCACACTATTTGCAAACTATAACGCATCATGTGGTGATGAGGAATGCCCCGAGTCACCCGACAGTTCCACATATAATGGTCTAGGTACATTAGTGTTGTTGCGATTGTATTTTCTACCCCTTTCTGATGAACACGGAAATTCACACCCGCAAAAACAAAGGGTACACCAGTACACCACCAGCACTAAACCACATAAGAATCCATATACCCAACACCCACAGCTAACAGCCACGCCTGATTCACATACCTATAGGTGTTGGGTGAGTAGGTGTGTGAAATACGCCTTGGTGATATGCTCTGGTTGGCTGTAGCTATGGCGAGAGTTGATATATTGGTGTACCGTCCGTTTTTGCAGGTGTGAACCTCCGCATTCATTTTTATTAGTATTTCAACAGCAGAGGCTTGAAGCAGAACATGACACCCATATGTTCGGACTTCAGAGAAAGCGACGTGATGGGAAAAGCTTCCGTAAGATCCGGAGCACGGGATCATGATCTACAAATGGTTCCTCTGGATTTCCTGTCAGCCGTGCAACATTCTTGAGTCAAGTTCAGGCTAGTAATTCAAACTTCAGGAAGATCATTGAGTGAAGCCCAGTATTCTCTGTCCGCACACAACAGGTATATTTCCTCATTGAGGAATTGCCAAGACTTACCAAGAAGTCACCACATCGATACAACCAATAAATCCCCCAAGCTCGTCAGACGCTTCCAGTGACCTCGGTGCTACCTACGGAATCAACTAAACCTATCATTTTCTGCCGTCTTGTTCACAGTCACGAGACAGACGCCGACCACTCCGAATAGACATATGCCGAGCCATCGGTGGGGGAAGGGAAGAAGCTTGCATCGTCTCACCCTGCGTAAGCACGACTGCGACGATGCAAGTTCGGGTCCATCATCTGCACCCCGCACCCTGCGTTCGATTTGGGATATACTGGCGTCCCCCCGCCTCATCTTCCCACCAGTTCTACGCATCTCCCAACGGTTGATCGCTACACATGAGAGCATGTAAGCCCGCCTGGGCAGCTTTCGACAAGCTGGACTGGTATTTTCCACTTGTACTATGGAGACGGCATTATCACTCGGGCGGACACTGGCCAGACAGGCATCTCCTCTCCGCCTCCCCTTGGCCCATGCCACCTGTACATATATAAATACGAGGAGACCTTTGTTGGTTTCTCTTATGCTGTGCAACAAAAGCAACCAAGTTCACACTGCTTTTCTTTACACATCAGCACCTGCCCCTCGAATCAAATCAACACATCCACAATGCTGCTGACACCGGACTCAGCCGGGCTGCTCCAGCTCCCCGTCCGCCTCCTCGCCCTCAGCGCACTAGCCCTCACCTGCATAGTCAGCTACAACTACATCCGCGTTCTTCTCCTGCGCCGGAAGCTCCCGCCGGGACCCTTCCCGCTGCCCGTTATCGCAACCACTTTCGCATACCATACTTCCAGCCGTGGGTTAGGTTTGAGGAATGGAGCCGGTGGTACGGCAACCCCATGATCACGATCTGGCTGGGGAGCAGGCCAGTCATCGTCCTCAACGATGCGTGGACGGCGTCGGACCTGTTAGAGAAGCGCGCGGACGTCTACTCGTCGCGGCCGCGCTTCGTGGCGATGGGGGAGTTGACAGGGTCTGCGACGACGAACCAGGCCACGCTTGTGTATGGTGACCAGTGGAGGCTGCACAGGAAGCTCACGGTGAGTCCATACCCCATCTGGAGTGTATCGGCATAGGGTACTTGGCCTCTGACTCTAGATGAAGCACTCCATTGTTGGCAGCCACGTGGTACGGGACCACCGGTCCTTCCAGGGCGACGAGTCCAAGATCTTGACCCTAGAGTTCCTCACTGATCCGGACGATTATGTCATGTCCATCGAGCGGTATTCTGTTTCTGTCGTCTCTATCATCGGCTGGGGCAGGCGGATCGCGAAGAAGAAAGACTACGTCTGCCAGAAGGCCCTGGAGACCATGGCTGTTGTGAACTTTGTTATCCCGGGCTGGTTGCTGGTCGAGTCCGTACCATGGCTTGCTGATCTACCACCATGGCTGTACGCATTCCCCACTATCGTGAGGACAATCTCGTCGCACTTGGCGAAGTACTTCCTCGCTCTTAACAAAGAGGCAGCTGCGAACCATCCGAACCCGAGCTTTGCAAAATCTGTCCTGGAAAAGCAGCCTGTTCTTGGTCTGAGTGATGAGGAAGTATCTGCTTTGACTACCAAGTAAGTGCAGATGATGTATATCCTATGGAGACTCACACACTTACATGGAAAAGTCTGCTCGGTGCCGGTGTTGATACTACGAGCGGGACGTTGACATCCACCGTCCTCGCCCTCTGCCTCTTCCCAGAAGTACAGGCCAAAGCCCAGGCCGAGATGGACTCCGTGCTTGGAGAAGCCAGGTCTCCCACTTGGGAGGACCTCGACGCCGGCCGCCTGCCATATACCAGCGCTTTGGCCCGGGAGATTTTGCGCTGGCGGACAGTCACGATCCTCGGCGGCATCCCTCACGCACCAGTCTGCGACGACACGTACAGGGGTTACCTGATCCCCAAAGGCACGCAGCTTACCTGCAATACGTGGGCGATACACCGGAACCCGGGCGACTTCCCTGACCCCGACACGGTGAGACCTGAGCGGTACCTAGGCAACCTTCCGGGAGGGCTGGCTTTCGAGTACCCCAATAGCAGGGGCCACAATGCCTTCGGATGGGGGAGGAGGCAGTGCTCTGGACAGCCTCTGGCAGACCAGAGCGTATTGATGGTGCTGGCGAGGTTGCTCTGGGCGTTCAAGGTCGAAGCGGGGCTTGATGACAAGGTGAGTGCCCTTTGGCGGTGATGATGACTTCCTATGGTCGATCTGGACACACGTGCGCAGATGTCACGACTATACCCGGTCCATTGTGGATGTAGAGAACCGCTTGTGGCTGACCATACACCGCAAAAAACCAGGGCAAGCCAGTTCAACTGAGTGCGTTTGCCTATAATGACAGCGAGAACATACGCCCACTGCCATTCAAAGCGCGGTTCACGCCGCGTTCGAGCAAGATTGAAGAGCTGATTCGATCAGAAGCGCGTGAGGCGGGGGAGCGCTTGAGCAAATTTGACGGCGATACGAACTTGACTTTGGAATCGGTCCTGGCGGCTCAGGAGAAATTGTGAAGGCATGTTTGCAGGCAATTTCGCAAGAGAAGAGACATTCGCACAGAAGAAAACGAATAGTACACAGATACCGCTTAAATAATACTCACGCAGCTAATCAGAGCACAACACCTACACCCGATTCCCAAACCCACACCCAATTAACACACTAACACTAGTTTAAATGCTTGTCTCATATGAATTGGGCTTAGATGTGGGTGTATTGGGTATAGGTGTGTTGGGTATGGGTGTATTAGGTGTAAGTGTACTAGGCGTGTAATGAATCTGTGTATTATCTGTTTCTTTCTGTGCGAATATCCGTCCTCTTCCGCAAGTCCTCGTGGCGAGTGGCCTCGTCTTATTCACACGGGCAAGTGGCAACGACGCTAGCCAGACTACACAGTATGTGTGCATGGATTGATAGCCCCGCCTGATCTTGGCCTCACTCGAATCATATCTTGCATCAAGTTCCATGCACTTGGTGATCAGCAAAAGTTGTGCCCGGCTTATGTGCGTGGCCCTATGGCCTTGCAAGTGCCTCCCTCTCGCGAGATGGAATTTACCGTCTGACAGGTCGAGAGCCGGCGGCCCAGCCCGGTCAGCACGCCAGTGTGGAGATGAACCAAGCTGTCAGATATTCCCAGATCCGCTCGCTCGGAACGGACCTTGGAAGGCGTGCCAATCACCCGCGGCAAGCACCTTGTCTGCGATCCTGCGATCCTGCCCGTGGTTCTCGACGCATCTCCAGCCCAGAAGCGAATACTTCAGCTTTCTCGAGCAAGGGAGCAGCTTGCGGTTGCTCGCCATCCCGAGACGCCGGGCGCCGCGCCCATTGGACTGGGACGTCCAGCCGTGTGTGCAATACCAATGTCGGACCCACCTGCTTGTCGAGTACGTGTGGGCTGGGCGTAATCAAGCGATTCAGAAGAGCGGCGCGTCGGCAAGTTCGTCGGATTGCGACAGCCAAGCAAGCAGTCTCTCGCCTCGTTCGCAGTGAGCAGTTCTGCTTCCCGTTTTTCCTCCGACCGGGGAACTCAACGGGACGAGTCGTGCCAGGCGCGATACAGTACAGGAAGTAGTTCCGGAGCACGGTACAACGGCACCAAGTGTGCTCCAGATCGGGCGGCGGGGAATGGGGAGAGGGATCCCGAGTGAGGGATCCCTGGGTCTTCGTCCCATGTTATTTGCAATTTCGGTCCAAAGAATCTTCAAGGTCGCAACGTTTCCAAGATCCATTTCCAGTGGGACCACCAGCGGAGTCAAAGTTTAAATGATGCCACAGGTAGATGCTTGTATCGGTACCGAACTTTTGGGGCTGGCACACACAGACAACGGCCGTAGAGATTGCAGGCGCGGATGGGAAGCAGACGAGCCAGTTCTGCACTGCCAGTCATATGCGGTTGTCTCGAAGCCGACGACGGGTGAATTGACTGAGGCAGGTTTCGTTTCGCACTGCACAACGTACGTACGGGTTACAGACAGGGCAGTACTGCGAAGCCAACACCTTCTCCGCCAAGTGCGTGTTTGTCGTGCTTGATTATTACTGTGTGGTGCGCCCATTTCTGTCATTTCTGTCTGTGGCTCTACCTCGTGGGAAGTGGAGGGGTGCCCACTGATGACTATGCTCCTTGTCAATGTGTCAGTCAAGCCATCAGAACGCGTGCGTGCGACAACATCCATCAATCAGGTGTATCGCATCCCCTGCAGGGTCTGTCTGACTCTGGAGACGCTGGAGACACTGGAGATAAACGGGTGGATGAGCCTGATGGTACGCACTCCGTACATGTGCGTGCATGCAACGCCTGTGGGGTTTCGGTCTCGTTCTCTCGGCGGTGCAAGCGGCTTCCCACCGCCCGGGAACCTTAGCAACCACAGCGTGTCAAGAAGACGTCGACGATTCGGTGGTGTGGTCAAGGAAGGTCTAGCAGGGATTATTCGGTGCCTTGCAGATTGCTGCATGAGACCCCTGCTCAAGCTCAGGGTAGATGTGGGTGGCCGGGTGGGTGGCCGGGTGGGTGGTCTGTCCTCGCAATCCTCCCGGCGGACTCTGTACAGACGTGAACATGGACTACTGCAATTTCTTTTGCTTGCCGCGGCTCTTGTTGATAAAAGGGCGTCATGTCTGACAGAGGATCACAGACCCGAGTGGTCTACAATGTGGTCTCGGAAATGGAACTGCAAATGCAATTGCGACTGCAACTATATGAAATTTGGTCGTCAGCCACTGGAACGGTAACAGCCAGATTATGGCCAGAGTAGGTATCGTGGACTCGTCGCCCGCTGCGGGCAAGTATATAGCGTGCATGTGCATGTGCTTGGTAGAGCGGGATCTGACTGCTGAAGAAGGAGAGGGAGTGGAGGGTGGACACGCAGACACGGCACCTAGCGAGCGAAGAGCGAGTGGGCGGCAGGGGTCCTGGAGGGCGGGAGAGAAGGAGAGAAGGAAGTGATCGTGTCAAGGCGTTGTTGCCTTGGGTTCGTTGTTGCCAATTCAGGCGTTGAGGTTCCGGACCGTTCTGCAAGGGGGTTGAGGTGACGGTTACGTTACTCAGACTGCTGAACGAGATTGGGGCAATCCAGACGCGGCCCGCTGACCCTTTACGGGCTGGATCTGCACCTGCAGGCATCATGGTGATCATCCTGTCCCCTCGCGTGTCTCGTAAAATAATCTACAGCATCTCCTCTGTTTGCCGCAAATGGTCCTGGCTGTGGCATTATGTGGAGCCACAGCCTCTGACGCGGTAAGAAGCGTCGAAGGCTCGACGCGGTCTGACAGTTTACGTGGAGAAGACGGAGGAGATGGAGACAAGACGGAGAGGGAGACGGAAGAGATGGAGACAAGACGGAGAGGGAGACGGAAGAGGAAGAGGGAAGGAGAGCAGAGACAACGGGCAGAAGGGAGACGGCATCAACTGCCGTCAGTCAGGACCCAGGCCTCAGGACCCAGTGCCCGGGGCTCGACACGCGAGCAAATCACGCCGTCGGCTCGATGGACAATTCTGGGCCGGACGAGGGATCGAAGCGAGGTGCTAGTTTTTCGTCCCATCTTTGTCTGGCTCCCAGTAGGAATTAGCAGCTTGCCCAAACAGAGACAGGCTCGACAGGCTGGCCCGCCGGGCAAGCAGCAGCCAGAAGGCACAGACGGCCCAGACAAGACTGATGGACTGACTGACAGACCGACTCCAGACGAACCAGACCACAGCGGACCTAGGGGCAAAAGCGCGGCAACAAATCTCGACGAGGCACGAGGCACGAGGGAACCCACCTGACACTTTGAGGCTCCAGCACCCAGGTCCCACACCCTGCAGCTGCTGAAACCAGCAAGCGACATTCGATTGATTCCCGTTGCTCTGGGTGGCCCCAGCCCCGACAGCCCTGGGCCGCATTCGACCATCCATCAGCTGCTTGCGTTGCTTCTGCTTGCTGCGACAACCCTGGTGACAGCAGCAACGCCTGCACAACGCCGACATCACCGCCCCCACCATGCCCGTCATCATCATCAACAGCACCACCTTCTGCAGCAGGGGCTTGGCTCGGCTCCGTGACCTCGGCTGCTGCTGCTGCTGCTGCTCCTACATGCAGTAGGACCTGCGTGCCTACGTACCTAGGCACGCAAGATCAATCCCTCGGGTTTCAGTTTGCCTGACGGGGACAACAGCTCGCCGGGCTGGGCAAGAACTGGGGGCCGGACATGTCGGGTCACCCATCATTTGTGACAGCTTCGGCTGGGAGTCAGTCGGATCCGTGCCCGCGGACTGATCAATCAAATTGATTACTCCGTATGTGCACGCATGTACATACACAACACATACGGTGCTGCTGACACGCACATGCCTTGTACGGATACAGCAGCCAGGCGCCCCTCTCTTGCCCCCAAACCGCGTGTCGGTGGGCGCCCAGAACCAGAACCGATGAGGGATTTGACTCAGGCACTGGGTGTGATCTTCATGTACTGCGGGTTCAGCCGCCAGAACGAGACCAACAGCCACACAGCCTGAGCCTTGACGGGACACTCTCCGTTCCGTGCCTGGGCGGGCCATCCATGTGCGTCCGTCCCCCCCATCCCTGTCCTGATCGCCGACCCTCTGTTTCCCCTGCACAGTACCGCGTCGACGAGGTACTCGTGTGTAATCTTTTGTTCCGTGCGGTGCCACAGTAGTCTACCGAGTAGTAGGACGACATGCAGCCGTATGTACTCCAACTAGACTAGGTGCTGCCTGTACTTGTGCCTGTGCTTGTGCCTGTGCCTGTGCTCTGTGTGCCTATTGCCTGTGTTCGTCTCGTCTCATGTCATATAAACCTCGACCTGCCGGTTCTGGCCTTGCCCTCGCCCACATCGCCGTAAATCCTTCCTTTCATTGGGACTCGGCATATTTTTGTTCATCGCCTCCCTCTTGCTGGTACGTTCAGGTGCACACGATACCCCGAGGACCGACTGGCTTTCTCCCCAGTCGACTTGTCCGTCCGTACACACACTTTTTCCCTTTGATCACCTCACCTCATCGCCAGCCTTCTCCCAAACTGCCTGGCCCACCCATCCCCTCCTCATCCACCTTGTGCAACGCAACCACTGCATAGGCTTAATTTTTTCCTGGAGCCTTACACTGGCTTTTTTCACCTCTATGACGTTGGATTCTTCAGGAACAGTTGTGCTTCATTAGACTTAGAGGCGGACATCACGGCTAATCAAACTTTATCTCCGTCCACAGACAGTAACGTCACTGCGGACCAACAAGACTCATCTCATCTCGTCTCGTCTCGTCTCGCCTGACGTCGTCACGTCCTGTCCGGTTGATTTGTTTTCGCCGTATCCTTTGATACCTGCTGACTCCCCAACCATCACGGTCGTTCTTCTTTCTTCTTCGACTTACCTTCAACTGCCTCGCACTCACCATCATCGACCTCTGCGTCCTTGTTGACTAGTCCATCTCATACCCGCCGGTACACCTAGCAGTACACACGACAGAGACATTGGAGGTTCATTCGATTGGATTGGATTGGATTGAATTGACTTTTCACGCCACCACGATATCAACGAGAAAAGACGAGACGAAATTCAATCACCCTTCCGACGCAGTGCTCGAGCCAATCATCTGGGTCGGCTTTTCCATTGCGCCCTCAGAACCAACCGTCCAACCCCAGTATTCACCCGAAAAGAGAGACAGAGAGAGACAAGGAATCGTCCAAAACAATTCACGACACACGTCACAGGTGCGGATATTCGACGACGAAAACCATTGCCAAAGTTGAGCTGCCCCTAAAGCTGCTGTGCAACTGTTGGCCGGCCGCCCAGCGAGAAGATTTGAGGGACCCACCCACCAACCGTATCAGTGCCCAGCCCAGACCAGCCCAGTCGCTGCTCGCTGCTCGCTGCTGCACGCAGGCTCAATAAGCCCGTCAGCACTACTTCGGGCCGTTTCGCGAGCTCGACCCCTCCTCGAGCTCCTGATCATCATCAAAGGGACCCACCTGCTCGCGTCCCTAGCCCGCCCCGCCTTCCGAAGTCCCCCCCGTTGCTCAGGTGGTCCCTGTCCTGGGCATTTTTGGGCATTCCAACCGTACAGCACTCGTGCCACCCCGCCGATCCTGCCAACATGGGCATCTTCTCCAGAAAAGACAAGTCCACTCGGGGCATCACATCCAAGCCATCCCTCACAACAGTCCAGTCCCAGGTCAGCCTCGATTCAGGAAGCTCCAGCATCAAGTCACCAGCAGGCACCTTCAGTTCGCGCGCCATGAATCGCAGCTCCGCAGGCACGAATAACACTTCGGCACCCAACACGCCGCTCTCGCCCTTCTCCCCACAGGTCCCCAAGATCGACCTCCCGAAGCCCCCAGACCCGGATCTGGACCCCGCTGGCTACCTCAGGAACCTTGCCGCCGTCAGGGAGAGGTCCAGGGTCATCACCACCAAGGCAGTCAAGAATGAGCTGAGACATTTCGATGTGGACATGCGCAAGTTCCCCGAGGTGGTGAGCTTCGTCGCTAGCATTATCAGGGTATGTAGCCACCTGTGGATTCCGCTCTGTGGCGCCCCGTTCCCTCCCAAGACTGCTTCAGACGGCTAATATGGTTCTATAGAGAGATTATGACGCCCCCTTCACTTCCATCCCCGCGCATGGCAGACACCAGCACTTCTGCGTGGGCGGCCGAGATCGGATCGCCCACCTGTTGTCAACATGGGAAAACGTCGACAGTACCGAGAAATGCCGTCGCCTGATCGATTTGTTCCTGGTCAGCGTTCTGCTGGACGCCGGAGCTGGCACGCAGTGGAGCTACAAGAGCACCGAAAATGGACGAATCTACAGGAGATCTGAGGGCATTGCAGTCGCCAGTCTCGAGATGTTCAAGACGGTAAGCTGCTCAGTTTTCCATGGCATCCTTCCGTTGCCCTGCTACGATTCTAACATGTTTGATAGGGTGTGTTCTCCGGTGACAAGACAAGCAAGTACCAAGTCGACAAGGACGGGCTGCGCAACCTGACTATCGAGCAAATGGCAAAGGGCCTGCAGTCAAAACCCGGCAACGAGATGGCAGGTCTAGAGGGACGGACTGAGCTCCTAATTAGGCTCGCAGACGCACTTGACTCCAACAAGGAGTTCTTTGGGGAGAATGGACGCCCCGGCAACATGCTTGGTGAGCCCGATGAGCCTTGTCACATGGCTTCTTTGACACAGACGCGCTAACACGGCTCTCAGACTACCTCTTGGCCCACCCCTCCACACAAGCCTCCTCGATGCCTATCGTGCCGCTACCGACGCTCTGGAACGTCCTCATGTCAGGATTAGCGCCCATCTGGCCCCAATCGCGCACGGCCATCAATGGTATCTCGCTAGGCGACGCCTGGCCATGCTCTTCCATGCCCCAGCCAGCACCAGCTACATCGCCATCCGCCGGCGGCCCAATCTTCAGCCCGTTCCCCAACACGTCTGGCCGGTCTGGGTCTGCAGCAGCCTGGGAGTCAATCCTGCCGTTCCATAAGCTGACGCAGTGGCTCACCTACTCCCTGATGCAGCCCATGCAGCAGCTGATGAAGATCCACTTCGCCGGCCAGGAGCTCCTGACCGGTCTGCCCGAGTATCGGAACGGTGGGCTGTTCGTCGATCTGGGCGTGTTGACGCTGAAGCCCGAGGATATGGAGAGGGGCCTGCAGCACTACAAGGAGTACTGCTCCAGGACTGGCGACCCCGGAATCGAGGTCGCCCCAATGTTCGAGCCTAGTGACGACCTAGTGGTGGAATGGCGTGGTGTCACGGTTGGCCTCCTGGACCGACTATGTATAGAAGTCAACCAGGCGCTCAAGTCAGAGCTGGCGGGACACGAGTTGTCATTACCCCAGATGCTGGAAGCTGGAAGCTGGAAGGTAAGATTCTCTCCCTTTAGACTGCCCTAACAACCTTCCTAAATCACTGGGAGCTTCTGCCGACGATGCACGAACTTTTTGCTGACATCTACTTGACAGGGTGGTCGCGAAATTGCCGAGATCAACCGGCCGAATACGAAGGAGCCACCGATCCTAATCGACAGCGACGGCACGGTGTTCTAGTGGTGCGCCGCCGCCTGTTTTCATCCAGTTTAGGGGCCGGTGACCAAGCACAAAACGAGTCTTGTCGGATACCAGCCCCGATGGGCTCCCTCTTCCTCTCCACGACGAGAAGTGGACGCGATGGGAAGGCGGAAATGGAAACGACCTCTACGAGAAGATTTGCCTAATGTCAGCGGGATTCATCGAGCCTTATTGTGTGTAATCTTTTTTTGAGAAAGAAATCATTTTTGTAGTAACCGGTGTAGATGCGTGGCCACGCATAGAACACATGTGTTGGCCCGAGGGCGCATTTCACGCACCCGGCTCCAAAGTGGGCTGTGGACAAAATTCAATTCAATGAACACATCCGAGAGTACAACCACTGATTCACTGGCGTGATGAGTGAAGAATCAAGTAGTCGTATGCACTGTTGCAGATATTCTCATTTCATATGGCGTCTGGGTCAGCTAACTACTGGAGCTTCTCGGCCTCGACAATCTGCTGTTGCTGAGCAAGCTGCACCTCCGTGACATACTTCCTCATCTTCCTAGCGGGCACACCGTTGGTATACATCTCATCCATCTCGGCATAGTTGCGCTGCGAGGGCTCGGGCACGTACAACCAGACCATAACGCAAACAAGAGAGCCGAGGCCGAAAAACAACCAGGCTGTATCGTAGCCCCAGTCTGCGCCTTCGGTGTCGACTATAATCACGACACGAGTTAGCAACAGGCCGTCCTCTACTAGGGATCCCAGCATCGCAAGAAAGGTGGAAGAACTCACGCATTACCGGCACGGCCGTGTTGAAAGTCAGGCCGAACATGACGGACATGGCGGCCGCGAGACCGGCGGTCCTGGCGCGGAGGCGCTGCGAGGCCACCTCGCCGACGAACGCCCAGCCGAGCGGTCCGACTTCGCAGTGTTAGCACCCAGCGTGGGCGAATCAGCTCGGCGGTGTGCAACGGGAAATACTCACGAAGCATTGTTCCCGAGCGCCCACAGACATGCAACGAAGATGAGAAAGTCCTGCAGCGGCTTCGTGTGGCCGACCTGGCCGAGGACGCCCACCAGCAGCAGCGCGAGAGAGCAGAGGATGGACGCGACGAAGACCACGAGCCGGCGGCCGAACCGGTCGGTTGCTAGGATGAGACCCGTTGCGGTCACGAGGGAGAGGATGGCTGTGCGGGTGTCTCGTGGGTAAGTAGGGTGGTTGGAAACCTCTCGAAGATGGACACTTCGTAACTTACCCATGATAGTGGTCACCAGAAAAGCATTAGTGAAGCCGCTCTGCTTGAAGAACAAGCTCGCGTAGGTGTTCAGGAAGGCAAGGCTTGCGTACAGAAAGCCCGTATGATACGGCTCACCTGGTGTTTCCGGAAGCCAAAGGAAGATAGGCAGCATGACTCCCAGGAAAGCCCATTGGGTCAGGATGGGCACCCTGAAGTTTAACGGGTCCGTATCCTGGACAAGAAGGAGGACCAGCAGAGGCAAGAACTGGCCAAAAGAGTTCCAGAACCCTTACACTAGGACCATGGCACCGCGGATGTTCGCAGGGGACCACTCAGTCATGTACACCGGCAGCGTAGACTGGATGGCGCCCACGCCGACGCCCGCCAGGATCTTGGCGCCAGTCCAGTCCCTCCAGTCGAGGGCGAAGGTCTCGATGAGCAGCGACCCGGCCAGGAGCACCCAGAGGACGTACAGGGTGACCTTGCGGCCGATCCTGTCCGAGATGGGGTTGAGGAGGAGCATCCCGATGAGCTGGCCCAGCGACTGCATCGCGCCCCAGAGAGCGGTGTATTGGGCTTTTAGGTACAATCGGCCCTGCGCGTTCTGGAACCCAAAGTGTTGGTAGGTCTCTCATACGTACGATAATCGTATGGGAAGCAATCATGTATTGGTGTTGTTCTGTTTAAGTTCTAAGAGGCTATATGTCCCAGAGGGAATAACTAAAGTAGCCTTTTAAGTAATAAGGATTATACTTGCCAATACTTATAATTTTTTTCTTCTTTTAATAAGTATATATAATCCTTATTATAATTAGCCTTAAAATTATAATTTATTATATATTAAGTATATATAATCTTTATTATAAAAAAATATTATTAAAAAGGCTTAAAATTATAACTTATAAATTTTAAAGTAAGTTTTAATAATCTTTATTATTATATTACTTTTTAAATTTATAATTATTATTATTATATTATTCTTTAAATATTATATTTATTATTTTTAATATTTAGCTTTTAAAATTACTTTTTTATAAAGATTATTAATTTTTATATAATAACTTTAATTTTAAATTTTTTTTTTATAAGAAAAGTTAATGCTTATAAAGTTAATATTAAATCTTTTAACTTATATTTATTTTTATTATATATTTTTATAATATAAATATTATTATTTTTATTTTTATTTTTATTATTAAAATATATTTAATATTATTTTAAATTAATTTCCTTTAATTACTTTTTATTTTTTTAAAATTAAATATTATAAATAGCTTAATTATTTATTATTTTCTTTTTTTACTTTTTATTATTCTTTTTAATTTCTTTAATAATTACCTTTTACTTAAATTACTTAAATAATAGTATATATTTCTTAATAAATTTCTTTATATATAGGTTTTATATATATTTATTAATAATTTAATATAAAAAGTTTTAAAGCTAAGTTAATATAATAATTTAATTCTTTAATAATTAAATCTTTTTAATTTAATATATATAAAAAATACTTAGGATTAAAACTTTTATTAAGTTATTTATTATAAAAATTATAATAATTTAATATTTAAGATAATAATTACTTTAATAATTTTTATTATTAAAAATGTTATATAATTTTATATTAAAAGTTTTAATGCTTTTAATATAAATATATAGCTTTTTAATTATATTATTAAAAAATATTTACTTATTTTAATATTAAAAGTTATTAATAATTTAAATAATAATTATTATAATAATATTATTTAAGAAAAGTATTTTAGCTTAAGTTATAATTATAGCCTTTAGCTTATTAATTTTAATAATTTCTTAGGAATTTATTTTAATAAGTAGCTTATTTTTTTTAATGCTTAGCATAAAAGTAAAGTTAAAGATAATTTTTATAATTTTTATTAAGGTTTTATTAACTTAGTTTTAATTATCTTTATTATTAATAATAATTAAATTATTATTAATATTAAATAAATAAAAGTTATTATTATTAATATTTTTATTAATATTTATTAAATAAGTAAATAAATAAAAGTTATTATTATTAATATCCTTATTAATATTTATTAAATAAGTATTATTAATAATAACCTTATTATAAAAATTAATAAAATTAATAAGCTTATTTTTATTTTTATTAATTAAGGTAATTTTAACCCTTTTTATAACCTTAATAATAATTTTAATCTTTATTTTATTACTTAATAAAAATATAATTATAATATTTATTTTATTAATTAAGGTTATAATTAAGATATTTATTTTATTAATTAAGGTTATAATTATAAAGCTTATTTTATTAATTAAAGTTATAATTATAATATTTATAAAGGAATTTTAATTTTAATTAAGGATTGCAATAAGGCTACCTTTAATGCTAGCTATATTAATAATAGCTATAATAATAATTATATTAAATATATTCTTAATATAAAAAGTAAATATAATATTTACTAAATAATTTTACTTATTATTATTATCTTTATAAAATATATTAATAAAAGTATTAAATAACTTTTATAAGTTATTATTAATATTTTTTATTATAATAAAAAGGAAAAAGATTTTATAAGAATTTAATAATTAAAATAAATATTTATAATATAAAACTTTATAATTATTATATAATAATTATTAATTTATTTTTTAATTATAAGAAAAGTTAATAAATTATAAATAAATTTAATAAAAATTAATTTTAATATTATTATTAATAAATAATAGCAAAAAGTAATAATAATAATAAAATTAACTTTAAAATAATAATTATTAATAATATTAATAATTATAAGGTTATTTTTATATATAATAAGGTATTAAAAAGGTTTTAATTAAAATATAAAAGGTTAAAGTTTATATTAAGGGTTTAAGTTTAAAAGGTATAAGGTTTTATAGTTAATGGCGGTGAAATTAAAAGGAAAAGGTGCTAATAGTAAGTTGCTTTTTCCTTAATAAAAAGGGGCTACTTTAAGTTTCTTAATTAATTTATTTACTTATATATAAAGCTTATTATTATTAATAAGCTTTTATAATATAGTATTTAAAGTTAATTTTATTATTATATTAATAAGGTTATCTTTCCTATTTATTTATCTTACTTTAATAATTTCTTTTATTTTATATAATTTTTATAATAATATAATATTAATTATAAAGTGCTTTTTCTTTATTATTCTTAGCTTTATAAGGCATTTATATAAATTATATAAATTTATATAAATAATTAAGGGTATATTTAATAATAAGAGTTATTTTATAGTGTTATGGGCTAGCCTTGGGTTATTTGCCGTAAGGTATTTAAATGGGGTTTATATTTAAAGTGCAAAGGAAAAGGTTTACTCCTTATTTATATTTGCGTTAAAGCCTATTTTTATAAAGCTAAAGCTTATTAATTAATTATAATAAGCAAAGCTTAAACCATAATATATCTTTCTTTTTAAAGTCCTTATAATAAGTTTTAAAGGGCAGCTATATAATAAAAAATAAAAGATACTATAGTTTAATTATAAATTAAATATTACTCTTTATTTAGCTATTTAATTATACCTTAATGCCTTTTAATTATATTAAAGGCTTAGCTTATTATTTATAATTAGCATACTTTAGCCCTTATAATTTAATATATTAGCTAAAGTAAGTTAATAAAAAATAATTATTTAAGCGTAAGTTAGCGGCTAAGCTAATAGCATTCTTATAATCCTTTAATATAAGCCTTTTATATAAACTTCCTTACTTAAAACCTTAAAATTATAAATTTATTATATAATTTATAATTAATTAGCGCTTAATTATAAGTAATTTGCTTTATTAATGAAAATTTCCTAAATTTTAAGCATTCTTATAAAGTTAAATTAATTAACATATAGCTAATTTGCTTTAAGTTTAGGTTAATGCTAAGTTAACATTGCTTTTAAGCTTTATTTTATAAAAAAAATTTTATACCCCCTTAAATAAACTCCTTTTCCTTACCAGCCTTAATTAATAAAAGCTATATCTTTATTTTTTTATAATAATTAAGGTAATTGCGCTTATAATAACTAAGTTGGCTATATATAAAATACTTAATTTTGCTTATTAAAATTATTATAATATTAATATTTATTACTTTATTATTTTAAGGTTAAGTATTATTCTTTTTTATTATAGCATTAAAAATGCCTTTATATTATTATAAGGTAAAGTAAAAGGCCTTAAATATATTTAATTACTTTTTATAATTAAGCTAAGCTTTTATTATAAAGGTTAAGCTATTAGCTATTAATAATATTTTATACTTATTTAATTAACTTTAAGCCTTTGCTATATAAGCTAATTAATTAAATTAAGTAAGAAATTTTATTATTTCCTTCTTATAATATTATTATAGCGTAATTAAGCTAAGCTTAACATGCCTTTATTTAAAAGGGTCCTTAAGTATAAGGCAAACCTTTTTTAAAAAGCTTTTTAGCTGCCCCTTAAATATTTTTATAGAATTAATATAAGGTAAAAAGTAATTATAAAAAGTTTTTAGCTAATTAAATATATAAAAGAATTAAGCCCTTTTAGCACTAATTGCCTTTTTATTTATTATAAACTTAGCCCTTATCTTTATTAGCTAAGTTACTAAGTATTCTTAAAATAAAAGTTTTTTTAAATAAGGAAGGGCTTAATAAGTTATTATTATTCTTTTTAAGTTTTATTATATTAAGTTTTATATAGTTATATTATAAGTTTATAATATAAGAGGATTTTAAATATATATTATAAGCTAGCCTTAGGTTATTTATTATAAGGTATTTAAATAAAGTTTTTATTTAAAGTATAAAGGAAAAGGTTTACTTTTTATTTATATTTGCGCTAAAGCTTATTCTTATAGGGCTTAAGCTTATTAATTAATTACAATAAGCAAAGCCTAAACCATAATATATAGTTATTTTAATTATTATAGCTAAGGAGATTTTAATATTTACTTTATTTATTATGTTATTAAAAACAAGCTACTTAAATAATAAGGAATAGGTTTTGCTAAACCCTTTTAAGGATAACTTAAGGAAAAGCTTTAATATAATAAAGAAGGAAGATAAGAATAAAAGGGAATTAAAGAAAGGGAAAAAATAAATATTTTAAAAATTCTTAAAAATAAGAAAAGCTTAATTAAAGTATTAAATATATAAGAAAAGAAAAGAATTAATTTCTTAAAAAAATATTTAAAATAAGCATAAAAGCTAGCTTTTTATAATTAATTAAAATTTAATATAATATTATTTCTTATATAATTCCTTATATTTATTAATATATTTTTTTTTAAGTACTTTATAATAAGTATTATAAAAATTATTAAAATAAACCTTTATTATTTTTAATTAAGCCTTTAAGTTTTAAAATTTACCTTACTATAATTTTAATTATTATTATTATTTTTAATTTTTTATTTATTTATTTTATTATAGCTTTTATTTTTTTATAAAAGCTTTAAATATTTTTAAAACTTACTTAATAATATATTTATTAATTATATTTTCTTAATTATTAAAATTTACTTTAATAATTAATATTAATATAGCTATTAAAGATTTA